AGTTATTATTACAGTTAAGTTAAATTATAGTTGAATGCCTTTCTACTATTAGGTTTCGTTACTAACAATACTAATATAGACGTTAAGTACATTCTGTTTGTACAACCCATTACTAAACAACCTATGGACTATATATGTCTGAAAGTAAATATTTATTATCATTATTATTCTCTTGATTTACTTTATATACCTTTATATACATATTATTTACATTTATAAACATACACTTTTTAAAAAAATATTTAAAAATATAAAAAAATATAGAAAATAGTAGATCACCGACATCGGGTACAGGGACCAAGACACCGGTGGTTAGGACTCCAAAGATAGGAACCTCCTTACTATACGAGCCGTGTCAAGGAGGACTGCCTTCTGCATCAGACCATTGATCCAGCCGTCCAACGTGAGCCTCTTAAGGTGTTGGTCGAGGCTCTTGGCTATCAATCCGTGAGCAGATACGACTATCGGAACAATTATCACTGAATCAACATTCCACAATCTCGTGAGATAAATTCAAATATTTGATTCGTTGTTCTTTTGCAACTTTCACGAGATTCTCGTCACAAGGAACGGCGATATCAACAATCATTGCCTGGCGCTCTAATCGATCTATCACCACAATATCTGGCTTATTGGCAACAATATTCCTGTCTGTGATAATAGATCGATCCCAATACTACGTAGGCCGACCATTCTCGAGAACTGGGTCGGGCACATACCAGTAGTATGGCACCTCTAGATTCACAAGATAGTATTTAAGGGCAAGCTGTTGGTGTACGATCCTGGCTACTTGGTTGTGCCTACGCAAATATTCACCATTAGCAAGACGAGAACAACCAGAAATAATATGCCTGATTGATTCGCCAGGACGGTGGCATGCCCGACAGATGTCAACCGTACCATCTTTCAGGATATATTTCCGATAGTTATTCGTCGTGATAACTTCCATAACGTCCATAATCGCACAAACAAAACCTTCAGTTTCTCCGAAGAGATCACCATACCGTAGCCAAGTCGTAGATGCTTTTAAATGTATATCGGACCCATTTAGGGCCCGATAAAACCGACCATGGAGCTCTTTCCCCTTCCATACCTCCCTGCGATCATTAACACTAAGTACTACAGGTTTGCGCCAATTCTCTTTAGCCAGAGCGAGCGGGGTGAATCCGGTATCGACTGCAACTATATTGCGATGCACTCCCACATCAATGTTATTACAGGTTCGGAATATAGGTACTCGTACGTATTTAGAATTAGCAAAAGTACATAGCGCTAAGACAACAATCATGTTCCCAAAAATATGAAAAGAATCCTATTTCCGAATGATTTTGGATTTCGTCTGTATGGTTTGAAGAGTTTTTTGAAGTTCGTTACGTTTGTTATATTCTTGAGAATGTTGTGAGGTTAATTCAAAAACATCTTGTATGGGTTTTTAACGATTGGATGACGATTGTATTGAAGGCTGCAATATTAAAGAAGACCTTAATGCAGGGAACATCAACCTAGTTTGGCCAGCTGCGAGGGGGCGGCGTCCGCGTGTGCCGGACGTCGCCTAAAGAGAGGAAAATTTTGAGACGGGGCCCGCAACAGGAGCGGGCCGGCGCTAGGAGGGGTCCGGATGTCTTAATAACAGCTGTTCCCGGATCCCTCCTGTTACAGGCGCAGAGTGGCACACCGTGTGGTTTTAGTCGGTCCGACACACCACCCCGCCGCAAACCCCGGTGGGGTGACGGTCCAATCAATCAATCAATCAATCAATCAATCCATCCAAGGGGATTTCCACACGTTAAGAAAAAAAAGGGAACATCAACCTTTGTTTTAAGAAATGCTTCTTGATTAAAATAGGATTGGTGAGTGTTTGAGATAATATCGTCCTTAATTTTCATTTGCTAGAGGTTGCGGAATAATGCGTCTAAAATAATGTATACCGTTTACGAGTTTGTTGCAAAAGAAACAACGGTATGGAAATGGCTTTAACAGAAAACAGATTAAGTTCTGATTGTAAAAGTAAAGTATTACATGTATGTTTAAAAAATATATAATACGCCTGTATATTATGTGACAGTAAAATGTATTTAGAATACAATAGGATATGCTTTATTATAAACCAATTACAATATGATAGATAAATATTACAGACGGGACTGTACAATAATCTATGACAGATAAACGAAAACGGCAAATATTATACGATCGTGGTGAAGTAAAGAGACAAATAAACCATTACACAGATAATGAAAGAGAAGCTAAGATAATTCTAGAAGCTGTGGGTGAATGTTTTAAAGGTACCCGTCTGTTATACGTGTACACCTACAAAAACGTAATACCTCATACAGAAGTAGCAAAAAAAGATTATAATGAAAACTGATCACCTATTTGGAATTTAAAAGCGTCTTAAATAGTTATATAATATAACATAGCTAGTCACTTTAAAAAGTTGCTCTTAAATTAAATAGCTTTGTGTAACATGCTAACTATTTAAAGTTATAAGACATACATATAATTGTTAATTCAGGAATTAAGGTGAAGAGGTTTTACTAGCCTTGGTCACATGTTGACCGCTGATCGCGGTTATTCTAGAACGAATAATAAACTATGAGAAATATTAAAATACTTAAATTAATTTATGGGCAAAAGTGGCATACAAAGTGAAGAAGAACAAATATTCGCTGTTTATGAATGCTTCATGTGGTTTAAAATAGAAAGTATATTTTAACCATTATAGAAGTTTTATTTTTATTTTTATGAAATATTATTAATACAACACAGTATGACGTGAACTATATATTATACTGTCGCAACTTACAAATTGTATTGATTTATTACTAAAAATAGGATAAGGTTGGATGGATATTAAACACTACCTGTTTAGTGTTTAATATCTTGTCTTTATCGTCGATAGTCCATAGTGTTTAAATAAATTTATATTTTATTTTGGTGTTGTATAAAACTTTAATTTTCTTTTTTAGCGATGTTGAAGAATTAATTGCAAAAGGAGCAAAATTTACTAACAAATTCAGAGAAGAACTGAAATTGAAATTACTTAAAATAAATATAATTACATCCCAAAGACATATTCTTGCCATTAATAAAAGTCTGTCTGTTTAAGTATTAATGTTTGTCTTTGAAAAAATATACTGAATGCATTCGGTTTTTAAACCAACTTCAAAAACACAAGAGATTATCAATTCATCTGTTATTTTTCTTGTATGTTGTTACGCGATATCTCCGTCAAATGTGGACCGATTTTTAATTATTTTTTTTGTAATTAAAATAGTATGCTTCTAAGGTGGTCCCATTTCCACCAAATTAGGATCTGATGATTAAAGCCTAGAGAAATCGAGGGAAACCCTCAAATTTAACAGTCCCGTCAACGTGTTTTAGTTTATTTCTCTAGCTTTATAGGTATTTAGGTACATAGGTTTATAGCTTTATAGGCTTTTTAGGTGTTTGTGTTGGGTTACAGAGATATGTGCACAAATATATTACTTCTTATGAGATTACAAAACATTTAGACAAATTCATGTTCGTTACATCAAAACTTTATCATTTGTAAACCAATTATACATAATGTTTTTTTATTTGGAAGGGTATATTTCCCCTTTAGTTCGATTCAAATGTTAAGAAAAAATACCACTCCTAGTTTTAGAAAATTAAATAATGTGGAAAACAATATATTTTCTTGTTCAAATGTAACATCTAACTACCTTATGTAAATAAAGTAACGGACTTATTAAACTGCATTTAATATAATCTAACATACTACCGTTTAGAACTATACATTACGGTAGTGTAGTGATTTAAATATCGTACTTATCTACTCATTACAAACATATCATACACAAAAAATGATAAAATAAATCCTTTTAAAAAAAGTTGAACCGACTTCAAACAATACTGACAACGAGCACTAAAAATTAAAAAATAATTACATATCTAAGTAAAAAAAACTATAATAAGTACCCTCAATATAACAGGTAACATTACAATAGCAATAGTCACTTCTAGTCTGTTTGAAGTCGGTGCCAAGCCGAATAGGTGCTTGATAGGCTTAGTAGAATGTAGCGCGGTACTCGTAGCTTCAATGCTTCGCAAAACATGCTGAACGAGCTAGAGTGGGTTACGCACGCTTGACTTGTCAGGCCGGATTTGAAACAGGTTTTTATTACTTTTGCTTATTTATTTTTAACTCCGGCTGAAATAACAGTTACTAACTAAACTGATAAAATTACATTACTTTATCGGTGTTTCACGATAAGTATCCAGACTCGTTATCAAAAAGTCACAAATATTACCAATGTATGTAAATTCCGATATTGTCAATTTATATAAACTCTAAAATCATGGTATAAATACATGTAAAGGTAGTTTAGTATTCCTTTGTACTTCTCCTGGTACTAAGTATTGATCACTAATTTTTAAAGTGATCGTTTTGTTTTAAAGTACACACTAAGCTAAATATATTTAAAAAAATGAGTGTGTTCGTTTCTATTGGATATTTGTTATTAATGAGCGTTATAGCAAAAAAAGTAGAGGTATGTTTTACATTTCAAACAACAATTAAAAAATAATTTAGGGATTTAACGTATTAAACACTTCGGTCCTAAAATTAGTATTTTCCCATGAATAGATTCATAATAATTTTGAGCATATGAATAAGTAAGTCTGAAATTAAAATAAATTACAATGTAACACATTCAATATCATTTTATTACAGGCCATCACAGAGTCAGAAAAGTCCCTAATAGAGGCGAAAGTTTTTTCATTTGCATTTGAGTGTTCACAGACTTATCCTCTAACAACGACTGAGATCATGACTTTTAGAAATAAAATCTTTCCAGATGGACTAAACCCAAAATGTTTTACCGCCTGTGTATTTAAAAAGATTGGAATCGTAAGTATTTCAAATAAGAAAAATCTTTCAAATTAAGATTAATTTCCTTTAAATTTACGTATTTAACACCAAGAGGTAAATAAAGCCTGTATGTTTTTTACATTAGATGGATGAGAATGGAATGTTGTCACCACAAGAGGCTCAAAAGAAGGCAGAACTTCTATTGAAAGAAAATTACTCACAGCTAAATAATGATGAGGACCTTATCAGGATTTGTTCAGCCGGTAATAATTGTGTAAAAATGCTAAAAGTTATTCTGGCTATTTATATTCATTAGATAAGTCTTTAGTAAATTTAACATGAACAACTTGAAAACTCTATTCTGTTAAAACATCTAATCTTCTTTATATTTATTTTTTAGTGAACAAAGTCGTAACAGACGATGGCCCTGAGGGTTGTGATAGAGCAAAGTTGATATACGAATGTTTAATAGAAAATGGTCCCAAAGTAAGTAGATAGTTTATTATACGAGTAAATTAAGTTTACAGTTATCTTTTGTTGGGCGTTTTATTCTATAGATATATGGAATATATGGGGTCTACCAATAAGAACGTCCTGGTTTAAAAATTGAATGAAACACACAATTTTTGATGGAAAATGCATCCAATTGATTTATTTGATAGATAATTTTATGCCATTTATGTTTTAAATAATATATCGGCCAAACGACCATTTCGGCCGGCATGTCGGCTATGGCTCTTCGAATGTTGGTTTTTAGGTCACGAATTGCAGCTGGATATTGCTGTACACTTTAGATTTAACGTTACCCCAAAGAAAATAGTCTAAAGTTTAAATCACGCGATCTTGGTGGTCAACAGATCGGTCCATTTCTCGTAATTAACGACTCACGAAACTTTCCAGGCAATAATTCCGTGTTCACTCGAGTAATGTGAGGTGGTACACCGTCTTGTTGAAAATAAAGGTCGTCTGCATCAATATCATCAAATTCCAGAAATAAATATTCGGTTAACATCGAGTTATAGCGCTCGCCATTCACAGTAACAGGGTTTCCTTCGTCACTTTCAAAGAAGTTTTGGACAATTTCCAAGCGTTGATTTAAAGTGAAACGTGACATGATAAAATGGCAAACCTTACTGAATACAAATGTCAAAAGACGTCAAAGATCCATCATCAAACATGGCCGCTATGAGCTGTCTAAACCAGGTCATCCCTATTGGTAGACCCTATAGTTATAAAAGATCAAGATGCGACGTGGTTACGTCCTTTCCGACAAATACTCACTGTCCGCAGAGTACATGTCGTACTTTCATAGTTTTTAACAAAGCTTGAATAGCCTCTATGGGTATATTATTTTCGCTAACAATAAAACGTTTCCTAAACGATCAAGGACAAACAAGTGTACTGACTCGTGACTTTTACCTTAAATTTATAGTTATTTAACATTATTTTTACTTTGCAGTATGGATTGAAACTCGATGACAACTAAGTTCTCATCTGATCAAGTACTTCAAGGAGTTCAAGTAATTGTTCATGTAATAATGTAATTCAATAATTATGTACGAAAGATGATTTACTTTACTACATACAATTAAATGCTGTTTAATGCAAAGTTTTTTCTCTTTCATGGAATATATGATTGATATTTTGTTTTTATTTTATATTAATTATGTTATTGCCGAACTTGCATTTAGTTAGAAGAATCACCAAAACTTATTATATACTTATATAACTTTCTCTAAATAAAAACCGAAATTCTTGTACACTTTCGAATCTGATTAAGAATATTGAGTTGCATTTTAAAACGTATGTTAGTATCAAAAGTTTATTTTGCAAGACTTGTAGGTGAATCTTTTGTAATCATATTTCGTAGATCCAATTTTTTTTATGTTAATGATAACTCACAGTTCTATCCCTGGGGAAAACACTTCTTTAATGACAGGCTGCCATTCTATTCCCAAAGTTCATTGTACCTACATATGTACCTAGACGAAATCTATATGTGAGTCAGAGTGCTTAGTACATAAATCAATGTTCTACTTTTAGTATAAGATAATAATATAAACAATTGGATTTTTAACGGACATGTTTACTTTCACATCCTGTTTCCATTACCTTTACAGCTAACAACTACACTACTGTTATATATAAGGATACTATTAGTATTGCAAAAAAATAGGGTATGAATATTATTAGTTAAGGGAAAGGATCCTCCTATTGGGCTCGCAGCACATGATTTAAAAAAAAAATAGGAAGTGTCACAACCCAAGATAGTTCTTAGGTTGTCGTAATTTCATAAATTTTCAGGATAATTTTTATGTGATTTATTCGAATACCATCAATCTTTGAAGCAGCTTGCCACAACAAATGGGGTGCTCTTCCAATGGATTAAAGGGCACAGTAATTCACACCAGTATGACGCCCGAGATGAGCTGGTATGGAGATGCTTGACAACAAAGGTGATGGAAAATACAACTTCTAAACGGTTGGGAGTTGGATGATAGTTATTTAAATACCATATGTATGTATGTATAGACTCTTAGTTGTATTCTTGCAAGTCATTCAGGTGAGCTGATGGAAGGTAAAACTCTTTACTTGTTAAGATTTTGATGATACTTTAAGATGCCGCCACAGTAACCAGTAATGCAAAGAAAGAAAAGACATGCAAAGCTGAGGGTTATACTAATCCAACCCTGCTGCCTACCTGTACTGCATACCTAGCTTGCCTTAGTGTTCTATTTAAATTTTTTACAATTAGTCTTAATCGTTGCTTTTTTTGGCTCTGTGTGGCTCTAAGTCTTTGACTTTGACACAATATTCAACAGGTTTTAAATATGGTTTTTATCTATTTTTTGCTATCATAATGTGAAACAGCGAAGCGATGCAGGGTATAGCAAGTATTGTGTAAAAACTGAATCCAGTAACTTGCCTGATTCTATTTGATGACGGCGAAGTACATGGCATTTAAATTTGGGTAAGATACTTGGACCAGGCCCTTTGTTAACAGAAATGTTTCGTCTCAACATAACTCTGGAGCCCATGCCCAGTTTCATTAAACCACTACATTTATTCGCCAGAATAACTTTTGAAGGTGGTCGTTTTTCGTAGGTTGCTACCTCTCGCGACTTATATGAAGTAGTTCAACCTACTACGTACTTATGATTATTTACACTTTATTTAAAAATGAAAAAAAAAACAATTTAAAATGAACCACTAAAAAGCGAAAAAAATATACTGAATTATTTACGTTATTAAATATTTTGAAACTATTTCTAACTAATTAATCAAAAACTTTACCTAGTAATTATAACTTACTCGTACCTATTCTCAATAAAATTCGTAATGAAAATATAATATAGTAAATATATAAGATATAATATCACAAAGCGAAAGCAACTTCGTTCCGCCCGGGGTCCAAAGACAAATGAAATAGTCAATGTAGAAATGTCACAGTTCACAAGTAACATTTAACACCACTATTTTTGGGCAATTAAATTCATCAATTTATTTAAGTACACTCCGTATAATTTCGTATAAACATTCTTGTAATGTCTTTATTAATATGGTGGTGTGACAAATAAATACTGACTGGGTTCTTTTACTATTATTTAAGGTTCTATCGATTTTTTTTGCTTGTATTTTATATTAGTCCAGGAGCCACCAATCCTGATTAAATTCTAATCCTGAAACAGATTCTAATATTTTTAATAAAAAATAAAAGTTAACGTTTAGACGAACAAGATTTGCTTGGTCGGCGTGGATTTGATTGGCTGGAAATATTTTAATTAAATTATTTATTATTAAATTTCCATATTTTTTTTCCGTCATCACGGATTTTGATCAATCTTATATAGAATTTTGTGTGAAATATTATGTTCAACAAGAAAAAATCCGGCCGACCAATGATTTTTAGCCGGCAAGGTCACGCATACCTATTTGAATGGTGTGATAAGGGGTAAAATTTAGCCATTATCACGGAAACCTTTTTTTTTTAATTTACGCGTTTTTATTTCACATTTATAATTATCTTGGTATGCGTGCTCACAAACTGCCGAAAGTATCGCGTATACCAAATTTTATTGTGTGAGTGAGGATTATACTGTTATAGATTTCACTTACTTGATGACATCTCTTTTAGAGTCTTTCTTCTACCTCTGGTCTATTCCTTAGGTTTTTAACTATTTATTATACTAATTAATTCGTGTTTATTTTTATACTAAATTATTATTATACTAAAAATTCATCCCGTGGGTGTCGTAAGAGGCGACTAAGGGAGAAAACTACGCAGGATAACAACACTGCAGAGAGAAGGAAAACTTGAAACAAACCCTATACCAACCCGTCTGGCCAGCGTGGTATAGTAGGCCAAAACCTCCTTTCGAAGGGGAGGCCTATGTCCAGCAGTGGACTATTAAAGGCTGTTGATGATGATGATGATGATGATACTAATTAATATTGAAAAGAGGAAATACAGGTTTTTTTTTATTTGGGTTGATTATATAATAAATGAAGGTTGATACAAAAAATATGTTCAATTCAAGTTTATTAATCAATAATCATCTACATCATTATCATTTCTCTCTTCTTCTGATTCTTTGCTTTCTTCCTCATTCTGTTGGCAAGTTTAGTTTCGTTGCAAACAGAAGCATTAGGGTCGTTATCGACGGTGCAAGCTCCGACTTGAAATCCATAAATGCTTGTGCTGGTTGCAGCCTCAAGGCTGTGTACTATGACCCCCTTTGTTTCTTCTGCATATTAATGATATGTTGCATACTAGTAGCATCCATTGCTATGCGGATGATAGTGCGGGAGACGCCCTTTATACCGGCTTCCCCAATATTTCTCGAAAAAACGTAATTAAGAGTCTAAACAAACTTGTGTCTAAAATTGAAACTTCGTTAGCGGAGATTTGAGAATTGGGTCGACTAAATCCTGTCCACTATAAGCCAAAAACGACACAGATTTGCGCGTTCACCGTATAGAAGAAACCGTTTGTTGTATCACCGCGGTTTGAGAGCACCTCCCTAATCGCCTCAGCTAGTATCGAAATTCTAGGCATCGATATATAGAACGAAGTCCAGTTTCGGGATCACTTAGAGGGTAAGGTCAAATTGGCCTCGAAGAAGCTCGGTGTGTCAGTTTATGGTATTCCCGGACCGATACGACCTTGAAACCTTTAAGAAAAGAGCGTACTCCAAAAAGACCGGCAACGCGTTTGTGACTCCTGAGTTGCAGGTTTTTATGGGCGACGGTGGTCACTTTCCATTAGGTGATTGTCTGCTCCCTCCTTCATGAAAAAAGGAAATAACATTAACTACATTACAATTTTGCATTCGTACAATTTTTATCAAAAGAGTGTAAGACAACTGCAACTGCCCTTTTTTTTTTGCGGAACTCCCTTCGGATACCACCCATCAGTGGGGTGGCCAACCCGGTGCAGAAGCAGCTGTTAGGGTGACAGATGACCTCTCCTGTCCCCCCCCCAGGCCTGCGGTTATAGAGGACGAAGGTCTTTCTTCGACCTCCGGTGCCTGAGTCGCCTGCGCTACCTGGCCCGATCCTGGACCTGACGGACTGGGAGAGTTCTAAAACTTTCCCGGTCCCGCTCCGCCGTCACCTTTCGCGATCATAAATTGCTCGCAGAAGGAGACGGCGGAGTTCCAAGCGCTCTCGGTCAGTACCAGTGGTGACATTTAGCCGTTGGCTCCTTGCGGGTCAGACAAAGGTGATCCCCAAAGCATCCTATGCAGGTGATCACTTACGTCAGCGGGTATGAGAGGGTCCCATGTTGTATCTCCAGCCAATCTTCCATAACAGTTCTTACCGCCGCAACAACGGCGTGCCCGGAGCCCGTTTTGATCTCGTTTTGATTTCGCGAGAAACAGGACTCCGACCGCACTCCTGCGCCTCGTTGTGTCACTGATAGAGTGCCGCAAGAGCTCTCACCCTCAGGTCTCAGGTGAAGTTCCGGCTAGAAGACTCGCCACCTCACAGGAAGTCGTGCGGTACCCCTTATGATCTAACCATACTGGGGCCCCATAAAGGGCCATGGACTGCACAACCCCCGAATTAGACCCTCCTACAGAAGTCATCGGGTCCCCTCATGTTTGACAGCAGCGCACGCGCTGCTCAAATTAACTTGGAGATCAGAACTCGGACATGATGTCAGAGGTCCCACCGGCCATCGAGTACAAGCTCCAGATACCTCATCGAAGGCTCGATGCCGATGCGAGTTCCTCCTACTACGAGGCTGGATACTGCAGGTCTCAACAAGGCCTCGGATTTGTGCAGAGCCACCTCCAGGCCCAGCTGCGGGATCCGCTCCACGACTTGGATACAGGCCGTGGCCTTCAGGGCTTGCTTCACGGTGCGTCTTGGCGCACGTGACAGCGTCAGCACCCAGTCGTAGCCGATGTTCCGCAGGAGCGGCCCTAACTCCAAACTCTACGAAACACCGCACGACATTTCACTCCGACCAAGACCAGTCCTACTTGGGTAGACGACAGCTCTCTCCGACACTTGATGATACACGAGCGCAAAGTCGCGTTGGAGATGTCCAAGGCCACCGCCAATACCACTTCGCCCTAGGAAACTGCTTCCTCCGCCAGAGCCCTCACGCGCAGCATTGCATCCACGTTGCAGCGCCCCTGACGGAAACCATAGTTGTCTGCTAGATCCGGCCCCACCCTGAAGAGGTGCTTGACGAGGCGTCGTGCAATCACTCTTTCAAAGAGTTTGCAGACCTCGTCAAGCAACAATATAAGTCCCTAGGCGGACGGTGGATCCGCCGATGAAGATCAGTTTCCCCTTTCCACAATTATGGATACTGACCCTCCTCGAGGCATGAAATTTAATGTTGTAATAAAATAAAATACAAAATGTTTATGCTTTAGTAACGAATCTATCTTACCTAATACCTACTAAGTCATCAAATTTTATTGCTTTGTTATGGCGAACTTCCGGACCCATAATCGAAGGCCCCTCAAATATTGCCGATTCATACGAATTTCGCTGTTTCATCAACTCTAAAACTCTTGTATAAATAGATGAAAAAAACTTTTTATTTTTAATAGTTTTTGTATGTTTCGAAGGCATTTAAAACAATTTTGTGAACAAAAGTGATTCGACTTTTCTGAAAAATGAAAATGACATTTGTTTCTTATCATGGATATTTATTAGTTTTTATCAGTTACATAGCTAAAAGTAGCGTGGTATGTTTATTGAATAATCTAATTAAAAATTTATGTGTAAAAATAAGAATCAGTTATATATTAGTTTAATCAATATCTAAAGTAAACCGACAAAGCACACATGAGGATCTGAAACTGCCATATAGTTGGTAGAATCACACAGTATATAGATATGTACAATTTTTTAAAATTAGAATAATAAACTTTATGTAACCTTATTATTACAGTATCGATAATAAAATTCCATTACAGGCCATATCACTGACAGAGCAGACTATAATCAGAACTAAACTGTTTGCAGTTGCATTAGAATGTATACAGTCTAATCCTCTGACATTCACTCAAATAAAATCTTTTAAAAACAACATCGTTCCGGATCAACGAAACGCAAAATGTTTTACTGCCTGTTTGTACAAGAAAATAGGATTAGTAAGTAATTAAATATTTTCAAAAGTTCTTCATTCCTTTGCAGGTTTCAAAAGCTGTAATAGTTTGGACGAAGAATTTTGATCTTAATTCATGGTTTTGAAACGTGATTTTTATATATTCTGTTTATGCGATGGGATTACAAATATGCGTGTATGACATTTATATACTATTAAATTTCAAATCGTTCTGTTATCAACTTCTGAAGGAATGTGCAGTTTTATAAAGAGTAAAAATTTGCCAAAAATGATAAGTTCTCCATTTAGGATTAGAGTTCTAATAACTAATATATATTTTATTTCTTAAGATGGATGATATGGGTATGCTATCACCAGCTAGTGCTCGGAAACAGGCAGAGATCGTGTTCAAAGAAGACGAAGAAACACTTAAAAATGTTGATAGAATTATGCAGCATTGCTTATATGGTAACTTACTGATGTTGTACGAAGTATTTTTAATAGCGTGAAGTGGATTTAAAAAAATAAATAAAGAAGAAATCTTAAGTAAACCTTAAAGTAATACCACTAGATAATAATAATCTAACTAGATTAGCAGGTAACGTACAAACCAAGATCTTAGCTCAGTGCAGCATAAGTTTTTTTGGATCCATTTCTTGCGAGGCGTAAGATTTCTCCACTTTTAAATTCGTTTTCTTAGACAGTCTCCTGAGCTAGTGATGTTTTTTTTTTCTAGTGAATGAACAATATAAAGATGACAGTAAAGGATGCGATCGAGCGAAAGAAGCGTTTTCGTGCTTAACAAAAAGTGGCCCTAAAGTAAGTTAAATCTTTCTTAATAAATGTCGATCTACATAAACAATTTTGGGCGACGATAAAGCTAAATGCCAAATAATATTAATAAAAATGACATCACTAAAGTAACTAAAATAAACTAAAACGAATTAAAGCTCGATTGAATGGCAAACAGAATTAAGAAGGAAAAAATTAGTTTTACATTTTTTTTTTTTCTATGCGGAAATACCCTCGGATACCACCCACCGGTGGTTATGTCGGACTCGAACCGACCAAAAACTCTCGGGTACCAGTTGCCGGGGAACCAGGTGTACCCTAGGAAAGAAAACCCTGATACCCCGAAGTACTTCTTGCCATCTACGGCGTGTAAATGATCCCCTGCTGTGTAGGAACCTCTATGTCCCCTTTGTGCTCCCGAAAGGGAACGCGCGCTTCGCAGCGCATCTTGCCACCACCCCGGTCTGCTTCTGCTAGGGTGATAGATGACCTCAGCGCAGGCCTGGGGGTGGTCCCCCAGGCCTGCGCTGAGGTCATCTAGACGGCGGAGTTCCACGAACTCTCGCTCCGTACCATGGCAGCAATCATGTTACCGAGCTAGGGAATTCCCACTCCGATGGCCGCGGCAATGCCTCTGGTCTACCCTCGCCGGGCATTCTGCCAGCATATGGAGCGTTGTGTCCATGGTCCGGCCATTGCAGTGGTGGCACTCAGGCGTTGGCTCTTCGCGGATCAGGCACAGGTGATCTCCGAAGCATCCTTTTCCGGTGGTCATCTGCGTCAACCGGTATGAGAAGATTCTGTGATGCCTCTCGAGACAATCCTCCATAACGGGTCCTACCGTAGCGATAACGGCGTGCCCAACTACAATTATCCTGGCTTGATTATTAAGCCATCGATATCGCTCATTGGACTCCTTAAAATGTTGTTTCCTTAAATTCTTGTGGCCCCCAAAGAGGTGTACGATACACCGCCTAGTTTCATTGTCAGATCAGCTCCAATAAGCGAATAATTTAGTATTGTCATCCAACCTAAAGTTAGAAGTGCTTTAACATCGACATGCCAATTTTTTACATCATTAGATTTTAAGTTACTTACTCATTTACAAGTATAACTAATAAAAGCGTCCACAATTTAATGATTTGATATTTTTTTTTTCATTATTAAGTACAAACAAAAGTCCCTCCACTAAATTAATTTTTAATATTATAGTAATACACATCTTACTTTACTTTATCGGATATTACACATTCTTCAGATAATAATTATTTTATTTTATATTTTCCAGTATGATTTTGAATTAGCCTAAGGAACCAACCTGAACGAACGAAAATGCTGCTCTGCACTTACAATGTACAGTAAGATTAATGGCGGACTTCTGTAGACGTAGAAATAAAATATTTTTGTTCTGAAAAGCTTTTCTTTTAAAACTTGTAAATTAAAACTAGATAATGCTCCGACGCTGAAAAGAGTAAACTAGGATAAGGCTCTTTGAAAATAATAACATAGGTAACATTACGTAGCGAGTCATTTCAATCATAATTGCAATATGAAAACCCACAAGGCCTTTACGGTCGTTAAACAATAGAATACTGAAGGTGTTCACATTCATTGATAGGCAATTGTTCAGTAGGTAATTCTATATTCATGTTGCTATCAATTTTATTGTTAATTTATTCAAAGCTTCGATTATTTATATAGCCTAGGAAATGATTATTAATGACTTGGTAAAAGTGATGACCGTAAATGAAACTGGTCATTACCAGTTTAGTTTAAGGTGGTGGGTGCTATTAAAAGTAGAGAAACAGTTATAAATATTTTAGGATGTTCTGTGTGATATGTAATAATAATAATTTAATATACAATTTGGTAATGAACTTGTCAATAGGTTTGTTAGTTGTTAGCCATAAGAGATCCCTATAATGATAGATGGCGCTCTTCCAGTAAACACGACTCAAAGTTGTCTCCGTTACTTATAATTCATAAAAATATTTATCCTCCACAAAGAACTGTTTACTGTGCATAAAAGTGTGAACAAACCTGTATTCTATAAGTGGTATTGTGGGCTAGTTTATTAGTGAAGTATAAACGTAAATAAGGTACTGTGAATATGAACACCTAAGAAAAGACTATTTGCACAAAACCAGTGAGTACAGTGCTTTGACTACTAATTAGAAACATTTAATATAAAGTTTTTAAATGAGTGAAATCCATACATACTGAAACAATATTAAACAGACTTATTTCACAAATTTGAAGTGTTAAGTCCGTTTGAATTCAAAATACCATGCTCACATACGCCATCTAGAAGGGCATAGAGAACTAAAATTAGTAACCGAAACTTTGAAAGTCAATTAATTTGCTGCTACTGTCCAATAGATGGCTCTGTAACAAATAACCATTACAAGTGGTTGTTAGAAAACAAAATAAAATACTTACTATTTTTTGGATAAAATACTTATTATTTTTGGATACAATGGATAATATTCTGAAGACGATGTCGAATTTAAGTAAAAAAGTAACCGAAAAAACGGAACAATTTTCACTAGTTAGTACAAATTCTGTCACAAAACTTAGTCCTATTTCTCCTAATACCGCAAGGAACAATATAACTATTCGTAGATGTAAAACTAACATTCCAACAGATAATTCTTTCGATGCCTTCGCTGAGGTGTCCTCAGATGACAATGATAATGACTTCTCATATAATAACTCGATGCCGTCTTGTCTCCTGAGTAGAAGCATACCTGCTACTAATACTAACCTAATTGAAGATATAACCGAAATGAGAAACAAACTACATACACTGCAGGAAAAGTTATTAGGCGCAGAAAACGAGATTGAAAACCTACTATTCGAAAATAGCAAACAGGCAAAGCAAATCAGCGAGTACAAATTAAAAATTGATCAACTAACACATAAAGGTCAAGAAACATCCACAAGAAAATGCAGTAATCAGCGGAGAACGAGTCTAACGAGATCCAAGTTGGATTTCTGTGATATTGAAAAGGAATTGAGAAGAGAAAGAAAATCTGATCAAAAGTCGATAGAAGTAACGCCATCTCTTAAAAAAACTAAGAAACTGAATGACCAACTATTACACAACACCATAAATAATAATTTATGTCTTAACTTTACTAAGACAGGTGGCGTGACCGATACGGATACAAACATTGAAACTGAAGGGAAGAAATATTCATATGGCATTCAAACATCTCCCTATCGTAAAGAACAAGGTAAAAAACCTAAATTATGCATATTAACCAATAGTGTTTGCGGTACATTACAATCTGTGGAGGCTACATTCAACCAATTTGATTATATTCGTTATGTGTCACCAAACTGTAACATAGAACGTTTACTTCAGAACTTGAACTACAAGTTACGTAATTATAGTATGATTGACTATTGCATTATTATGTTGGGAGAAATAGATTTTAAAGCTTCATGTACTGACCATATAGCATTGATAAAATCTATTAGGGAAGCCGTACAACATATTTCTAATACAAACATAATTATATGTTCACCTACCTATATATGTGGCGCTCCCATATATAATTACAACATAGAATTATTTAATAATCTTTTGTCTTTAGAGCTTCAAAATTATGCCTATGTATACTTTTATGATTCAAATCTCATAGTTTCTTTTGATATGTTCTCATTAAAAACTGGCAAGCTTACTTATTTAGGATTAAGACATATCTACTATGATCTGTTGTGTAATATTGTTGCTGATTACAATTATTATGGGTATTCAATACCTATTCCTCAAACTACAAAACCGGATGATAGGTGTCCTAAGTTTTTTCTTGCATAATAATAATTATGGGAGGAATATTTTTACAAATAAAACCACTGTTCACAAAATCAAAGAGAATTGTACCAATAAAAAAAAAAGTAACAAAATATTATTGTATTACCAAAATGTAAGAGGTCTACGCACCAAAACTGCTATATTCTACAAGAACGCTATAACTATAGCCAGCGATCTTGTCATCCTTACAGAAACATTCCTAAATAGCTCTGTTAATGACGCTGAACTCTTTCCACCTGAATACGTTGTCCTGCGGAAAGACCGTCAAGGTGACGTCGGGTGGGGGGGTGTTCTATTGGCAGTAAAAAACTGTTATAATGTGAAAAAAGTTACAAATGTAGATGACTTAACTGATGATAAAGAATTATTATTTGCTATTATTACCAGGAAGAATGTTAAGCTAATGGTTTGTGTTGTCTACTTACCTCCCAGCTACAGCAGTAAACAATATCTCGATGTCTTAACATGCATCGAAAACGCTATCAACATGTATACTGAATATCCATTGCTGATAGTTGGCGATTTCAATTTAAATTCGTGCAATAATAATGTTAGATCTCAATTTAATAATTTTATGGAATTTTGTAAGTTGCAACAATGCAATAACATTAGCAATAAATATGGATGCATCTTGGATTTAGTATTGACTACTCTTGATTCCAACAGTATTAATGTGTCATCTGATACTGAACATTTAGTGCCCATGGATGCATACCACCCTCCCTTAGAAATACCACTTACACTCCCTAAAAGAGCGAACAATCCTTCGTCTTTTACTCCAGGGAAGTATTTAAGTATGGAGTGGAACTTTCGTAAAGCAGATTTACATGGCTTATACACTGAGGTTGCTAATATTGACTGGACTGAACTACTTGACCAGCAGAATTTAAATATAAACCTAGCCGTAGATATATTATATAATAAACTTAATAGCGCTATTAGTACACGAGTTCCCTTAAGGACAATAGCTCATAACAATAAATATATATATCCCAAATGGTATACCAAAGAAATAATATCTTATATAAAATTAAAATATTTTAATTTGAAAAAGTTTAAATGCGATGGTTTAGAGTTTAACAAAGAACTTTTTAAATACTATAGGACTAAAATGAAGGACCTCGTAAATACAGCCTTTAAAGAATATATATTAAAGGTTGAAAACAATATAAGTTTAGATCCTTCAAGTTTTTGGCAGTATATAAAGGAAAAGCGAAAAAATAGGCAGCAGACAAAAACATATACTTATAAAAGTCAAGTTGTAGAAGGCCAGGAAGCCATTGACTCGTTTGCTAAATATTTTAGTTCAGTGTTCCACGATACTTCTCCGTTGTTAGATGTAAAGGTAGCTGAGGAAGAGGCTAATCGTTTAGGCTGCCTATCCACAGTGACTATTGAACGAGTTACAGCTACCGAACTTAAGTGTGCTGTACGGCGACTAAAAGCTTCAATAGCTTGTGGTCCTGACAACATACCTGCCTTTTTAATAAAGGATTGTTTGTCAGCTTTGGAAGTGCCGTTACTTCATGTTTATAATCTCTCGCTTAGACAATGTTTATACCCTAGTAAGTGGAAAGTGTCCAGGGTGACGCCAATACCCAAATGTGGAACATCCGCAGACATAACAAACTATAGACCTATTGCTGTATTGTGTGTATTTGGAAAGATATTTGAATCTGTCCTCAATAACGCCATTTATAAACAAATAAAGGGACAATTGAATGATTGCCAGCATGGGTTTCGTCCTGGACGCTCCACGTTAACTAATCATTTAGAATTTGTAGATTTTATAAATACTAGAGTTAAGTCTGGCTGTCAAGTAGACGCCGCATACTTTGATTTTAAAAAAGCCTTTGATCTCGTCGATAATGATGTACTTTTAAACAAATTTTCTGTATTGGGCTTTTCAACTTCTCTAATAAAATTTATGGCAGATTACTTAAAAGATCGTAAGCAGTTTGTTAAGGTAGAAGGATATAAATCGGAAGAATATTATACTCGATCAGGGGTCAGTCAGGGTAGTACCTTAGGTCCTATGCAATTTCTGATAATGATCAATGATTTACCTAATGTTATATTAAATGCAAAATGTCTGATGTTTGCCGATGATCTCAAACTGTACCTTTCTGTAAATGAAGCTAAGGATTGTTTGGCCCTACAACATGATATTGACGCTGTAGTTAAGTGGAGTCTAAAAAACAAGTTATCATTTAATAATTCCAAATGTAAAACTATCACTTTTTCTCGATCCCGTAATCCGATTACAAATACATATCATCTTGCAGGCGCCCCAATGGAACGTGTTCCCTCAATCAAGGATTTGGGAGTAACAATGGATAACAAATTAAATTTTCATGACCAGATACTTAAAATATGCAGAGACGCTAATAAATGCCTTGGTTTCATCATCAGAATATCTTCACAATTTAAGAACACTCAAGTTATAATACAAATATACAATACTTATGTGCGTAGTAAATTAGAATATAATGCAATAGTCTGGGGTCCACGGGAGTCGTTGTATAATATTATGATAGAAAAAATTCAACGTAAATTCTGTAGATACCTATATAAGCGTCAGTATGGATACTACCCCTTTCTCTATCCTTCACTGTTTGTGTCAGGAATGGTGGGTTTAGATACACTTCAACTCAGACGGGAATCTACACATATAATGCATTATTGTTTGATACTGGCGAATAAGGTAGATAGCCCTGTTATACGGGAAACAATACATTTTTATGTTCCCGACCAATATATGCGTGCCGTTGGAAGACGACAACATAGACTCCTGTGCTGTCCGCCTACGTGGCGCTCTCCCCAGGCCGACCATAGCCCCACTGCTATAGCAATTAGGCTTATCAATGAGTTCCTTCAGTATAGTCCAGATGCAGATATATTTTTCGACTCCCAAAGCATAATTTTAAAACATATTTATACATATTTAAATTTTAAAGAGTAATTTTATAGTTCCTAAGTTGATGTAAGGTTGTTTTTGTTTACAAATTTTATGTTGTTTCTTTTTTGATGGTCTGAGTTTTAAAATTGTAATAGTATTTAGTTTATTTTTGTTAAAATTAGCATAGATATAAGCGATTTGGTGTATACTGTGATGCTTATATTTTATTAATAAAGAATTGAATTGAATTGAATAAGTTTTTATATTCTCTAGGGCAGAAGTGCAAAGAAAAATTGAGTATTGGCAGAAAAAGATTTCTCTAGTGGTAGCATGCGTTTTTGCACTACATTTAACCTACTCAACAGTGTTATTTCTGAAATCATACATTAAATCCTTCCTAAAAATCTGTAGTAGGCCGAACGAGGCTCAGTTTACATCATGTCAATTCCTATTTACCTACTGATTCTCCTTATAACGGAAACTGTTACTTTCAGAGTTTCCCGTGTTACATTCAAGTGCTGTAGTTCTTAAGTAATCAGCGTTTTTATAATGTGTTTAGAATGTATGATTTGAATACTTATCTATTATGTAGGTAATTAGAATACGCTAAATATGCTAATGATAATTGAAAAACACTGTAAATTATATGCGTTATATATTTAATAAAACTATTCTTACAATAATACATCCACAATCCAAGACCTAATGATAAACTAATATAATCCGTTCTTGATTCGTTAAGCCGAGGTCATACTATCCAACGTAACATGGAGACCGCATTAAAGAATAAAATGGAAGTCGAACTGTAAAATAAAATTTAAAGTTATGTAATAAACGTTATAGTTAGAAAAACTTGGGAAAAACATTCGTCGTCGTGGACTCTTTAGACGTTTTACAAAACTAAGGACTAACAGTCTTTTAAATGGTATGCATTTAAAGAGGGTATGTCGTTCATAATTTAATTTTAATTAATCATTAGAGATAAAACGGTTAAGAGCCATTTCTTCTAGGTTTGTCTTTTTTATTTTATTTTTTCTTTCGGCTATTGATGAAGTTCAGTAATAATAAATGAAAAATTGCAGCTTTTTTAACAATAAAATCAACCCAACCACCAATGAATCCAAGCAATGGTACCTATTTATGTTTTAAAAATATTTATTTCTTTTTTAATGACCGCAAATTTTGGTTGTTTTTCTAAAATATATATATATATATAAATCTGATGCAAAAGAATTCGATTATTGCTTTTCTTATATTTGATAAGGTACAAAGTAGTACTTCTTATATCATTATACGTTTACCTTTTTATAGTTCTCTACATAACAATTGAACGCTAATTTAGCTCGTTCACAGCCCAGTTCGCCATCACTAACTTCTTCATCGTTCACTAAAACAAAAACACAGCAAACTCATATTTAATATTTGCCTTATCATCATTACATTACAACCTAATATAATTAATGTAAATACACGTTTGTTTATTACGTTTTTGTAGTTTAAATACATACACATTTTGCATACAATTTTTATTCTGAAAGAAAGTTCTATATACACTTATAATAATTTCAATATGAGTAGCAATTTCACTAGTTATTACCATGACCAAAGAGTAACACTAACCTTTAACGCAAGTAGCCAGAAATTCTTCTATGCTTTTCAATTCTTTTTCATCTTTAAATATATTTTTTGCATGTTCTAATGCCGTCGTGGGTGATAAGTTACCTTTTTCATCGAACTGTAAAAAGGTAAGTTAATGATGTGATTCTTTTATACACAGTTAAGAGGAAACAAACATAACAAGGTTGATACAATGTAATCTAATTTGAAGAGAATTTGTAGGTTTTCTAGATTCATATTTAAGACAGTAGTCTGTTCTACAAGTTTACTATAGTACTTTAAAAAAAAGAAAAACGATACAAATCATTCAAATAAGAGACTATTGGAATTGGTATTGGTTGTAGGCTCCGGTTTCCCCATTTAGACTCAAGATGGTCCTTTATGCGTCGAATACAGGTTGGCTAGGTGAGCCAACCAAGGTCCTGCCAGAAGCGCAGAAGCCTACTGGGGCGTTCACAGGTTTCTAGGAGCGATTTTGTATAAGGAAAGATACTTGCCCGTTGTGTGGCCACACCCTCGCATTCCAGGATTACGTGGGCGGCTCTTTCTTCTGCATTCAGACATCCTCTGAAGAGAGGACTGTCCGTCGCATTAATGGTGAATAGCTGTCGGTTCAGGGCTAGGTATCCTGCTATGGTTCCTACAACTATTCGGATATCTAGTCTACTAAGGCTGATCAATCTGCAAAGTAAGTCGTGGTGAGACTTCAGTCAACACCGGTTTGGACTGTCTGCAGCAAGGTGAGTTTTTCCACCTTCGGTTGTGTGCTCCACGAGTACGCTGTCTAATCAAGGATCGAAGTTGGTTAAAAGGCAGCAGTATAGTTGGGGCGGTGCCAAGCCCCTCCTTGCCAACTCATCTGCGACGTCGTTCCCGTGTGAATTACTATGCTCTTTAATCCATTGGAGTAGTACCCTATTTACTGTGGCAAGTTGCTCCAATGCTTGATGACATTCGAAGACAATAACAGAGGTAATTATGTTGCATTTTAGTGCCTTTAGGATAGCCATACTATCTGACAGTATTAGGATGTTATAGTCCTTAATGCCCATTGACATGGCCGTTGTGGCGGCGTTAGTTATTGCCACACATTCCCATTGGGATATGGAACTGTGTTAGCTTAACGCTTGTGATATATTCATATATAATAACCTAAGTCTTGAGAGAAAACTACGGCTCCAGTTCCTGACCTAGTCTTGGAACTGTCCTTGTAAATTCGGACTTCGTTAATGCCGGATTGATCTTAGTCATTTCCTTGTATCTGAATTTGTAAAGATATGGTGTTTTGGGATCCTATCACATGGGGCTGCTATTAGTGGTTCGTATTCCTCTAATTGATCCAAAAGTTTGGAGTGCGATTCCTCACCTTTATGCCACAGCCCCAGGTGTCTGAGTCAAGATCAAGAGTCAAGATGAACAAATCCAGATGGGGCAGACTAAGGGCCACCTCCAGTGCATGGGAGTCACTGGAATTGCTGCTATTTGTTTATGGCGGTGCTTAGCTCTGTTCGCTGCCACCAGACAATAGCACCGTAAGTGATTATTGGTCTTATAACTGGCCTGTAAATAAGTGCCTGTGTTGCCGGGCTAAATAAGAGACTATAAGAACACCCACCTAAAGTCACGCTATTTGTGGATAAAACAAACTTAAAATGCTGTAGGACTCGATTCTCAACACTCGACGAAAACATTGGCAAGTCGATCACTTTAACTATTGCGTCGTGGAGTTGAAAATTAATTCGCTTAATTAACATTCGTCGTAATTCCATTAATAGCAGTAGATAACTGGACCATTGGAATATAGTGTTGCACAATAAATAGTCCATCTTTGTCTGCTAAACTCTCGGTCTTTTATATCTAGTTCTTGAATAATTATGAATCTGTTAATCTAAAATTATTTTTGAAATCGATTGAAGTTATTTAGTAATCTAATAGCGTACTTTCATAATTTAATACAGGAAAATGAAGTCTAAAAAAAGAACGAAAATTAAAGAATTCAGACAGCGTAGGGACCATTTGTATTCATAAACATATTTAAAACTATTATAATGTGTAAATGAGTTTAGGTTTCTCATTAGATAATAGAGATTAGAAAATAAACGAAAAGATATTTTATTTAGATCACTGAATCCTTGGGCAATATATATTAAATAGGACGATAGGTCCTTCTCACATAATTTGATCCAATTTACGTAATCATATCTAGAGTGACTGTCGATATCCCGACATATAAGAATAATATTTAAAATATTCATAAGCAAAGCATCTGTAAAAGACGACGAAACTAGGTACAAATATTGATCCTTCTTTTATACTTCTCGATTTATCGTCAATTTTATATAATTATAAAGCTTATTTGTCGATTATAACCAAGTGATTTTACAACGTTTAAATGGCGGATAATTGTCTTTACTAGTAACATGCATCCGACAAGTGATTGTCATGAACATTAGTTTTATATTAAGTACATGAGTCATGACCATCTAAACATTTGCAAATTAAGAGTATTTTAAGTTCTGTATTTCTAAGGGATATGCTGTTGGTTCCCTAATGTTTTTACCGATTTGTACTGATCGTGGGGGTTCATTGACATTAAAGGGGGGAGGGGGGGGGGGGGTGAACATTACGTTAATGTTTTATTAGCTGACCCGCACAACTTCGTCCGCTCCTCTCAAAAGGAATAAATTTATACCATTTCTTTTTGCAACATTTTGTCATTAATACTGTAGTATGATAAAACCTACAGATTTCCTCGATAAATAGGCACTAACACATAGGAACTTTACAATTCCAACGAAAGTTCCTGAGATTAGCGCATTCAACCAACAAACAAACTCTTCAGCTTTTTAAAACAAGCATGGATGTTGCATCGCACGATATGACTCTTAGCTATTGAGCTGTAACAAAAAATAGATGCAATAGCCCTGACTCACAAAAACGTTAGGTAGAATGCCGTTGAAGAAGCTTCTAACATTTTATTACTCTTAACTATCAAAGCCTTGAATTCGTCGATTATATTAAGCATGATTCAAAGTGCAAAGTGTGATACCTAAAAAGACTGCAATCACTGTTATAATCATCTCATCATTTTTTAGTTAAGATATGTTATATAATTGAAAATATTGTCGAGGTGCTAGTAATAAATTTTGCACGCGTTTGAGTCCAAACATCTTCATCGATGTAATTAATTTTTAAGAAACTTGACGTGTTAACTCGTTACCTTCAATCTTTTCAGATTCATAATAATTGTATTAAAATAAATTTAAATAGCTACATATCATATTCATATATGAATATCAGGACAAAGGGGATTGAGCGAGTAACGACAAAAGGCCATTGTAATCAGTGCTTCAATTCTGCTATTCTAATATTGTATCAATAGACTGTCATCGAAATAGTTTTGAACTTTTCGTATTCTACTAACTATGTATGACCAACTTGTCACTGAACTGCCACTGATAAAAATGTTGTCGATGTCTTTGTAATAGTTTGGTAAACAGTACATTTTAAATTTGTACTTATTACTACTACTTACCCTTGAGTTAAATGTGCTTTAAAGAGCATTGTGTACATAGTGCATTCTTAAAAGCAATTCATCTACATGGGTATACAATATTCTATGAAAAGAGACAACAAGACAAAGGTGAGGAAAATATTGCTAATTGTTGTTTACGAAGAGTATGTCTATTCACAAATAGTAAGTAGTTAAAACATTACTCACAAGTCCAATTTTATTGAAAACACAAGCCGCAAAACAGCCAGCGGCACTGCCTTCTGGAAAAACTTCTTGTTTCAGAGATGAGAGATCTTCAATAGCCACTGGGTGATCTTTGATACATTCGGAACTAAATTCAAGAACCTTGGAGTGTATTTGTGCTTGTTGTTCATCAGTTATAGCCTGTTATAAAAGTATGATACAGTGAATTATTAAGGGTATATCCAGTTTACTTGATATTTAAGAACATCGTAATAAAAAGCATCTGATGATGAAGTTTAATAGGAAATGTGTAGAGAACTTACCAAGGCATTATTCAGATACATAGCAATAATGCAATAAAAAATCACCACTTTAAACATTTTAATCTTTTGGTAAACAGTTAGTTCGTTTAGAGTAATCTGACATTTGTTTTACAATTTCGGTGGTTTTATACTAAACAAAGAATGGTGACAATGTATATATTCTGAATGATAAAAAGCCTTCGATTGAATTGAATCGATTAGATTTCCTTTAAGGAATTACAATGGTCAGATAAATGCGAAGCATCCGTTTGATTGACACAATACCTGCAAGTATATTGTTGTTATTGTATCTGTGTTGTGTGTTACTTACCAAAGGCTTGTAAAATATCAAATGAAAAATTACTCAAACTGATAATATCCTTTTGTTTTTAGGGAAGAGGGGCAAACGAAAACGACTACCGCCACCCATGAACACCTGCAAATCAGGAGTCACAAGCGCGTTGCCGGCCTTAGAGGAAGGAATACGATCTTTTCTTGAAGGTCGTATCGGTCCGAAAATACCGCAGATGATAAGTTGTTCACAGATTGTATGTGCGAGGCAAAAAGTGTCTTGAAAAGCGCACAGTGATGGAGCACAGAGCTACTAATGTGATAATAAGAAAGAATTGTTATATTTCTGTATTCAGATAATAATAGTAATAATAAGTCAGTAGGTACATATGGCCGTCTGATCCGAAACCAGATAGAGCCTGTGCATTGATAACCGGATTACAGATAAACATACTTATCTAATACATACAAGTTATCGATAAATTACACTCAGACATAGAAAAAATTATAGTGCTCATAATAAATTATCTTATAACCAAGGATTTATTTCTTGTATATTTACATACATGTAGGTATAATTAAACATAATGACTTTCTTAACATAGGTACGTTGGAAGTGCTGGTATGAAATAATTCAAGTATAAAAACAAACTTAAACTTTACCGGTAAATACACAAAAAAGCATAGGTAATTGAATAGATAAATCAAGACATTAGTTTTAGTTAAGAATGAGATTTAATTATTGATTGTACAATAGCAAGCGTATTTCATAAATGTGTAAGATTTTATTATCATTATTATAGTTAGTTTATTATAGTTAGTTAGTAAGTATTAGTTTCTTCCTCCGAGGCTTTTTTCCCCAACTGGGTTGGACTGGCATCAGACCTCCACTACTCAAGTACTAGGCGATATCGAAGTTCTGTACAAAGACTGTGGTGGGATATTTTAGGGCTCCGAGTACCGGTAACAAATGCCATAGATGTTTGTATCTTAACGCGCTCTCCGAGTCACGAAGGGGTTGAGACCCCTTCGTGACTCGGAGAGCGCGTTAAGAGCGACCATTCTTAACACATTGAGAATGTGTTAAGAATGGTCACCCATCCATAGACTGACGTGGCTAGGATTGCTTAACTTTGCAATGTTTGTTTACTGTTACTCGGTTACCACTTAGCTACAAGCCCCTCTAACTCTATCATTATTATATATATAGTTATCATAACATAATAAACGCATTTTGGGAATACCTATCCTTCCTAGGGTATACCGGTGTCCTTTACAGTATGCTCAAATGGGACGGAACACCGTGTGGGTTTTGTGGGTTCGATAGTGTAATACCACTTTACTGTGAGCCCCGATGAGGAGTGGAAGTTTTCACAGGATAAATAAACATTACGTATATTCAACAAATCACGAAAAAATTGCTGCTGGTAAATAAAGAATATTAGAACGAACTAAGCACAGAACATACCATTGATTATACAGAAGACGGTACATATTTAAACACATGTACACCTACTTGCATAGGTACACATTATTTGCATTTCCGCTTAAGAAAATTGAACCCACAGCCGCAGTATGAAAAGCTTATCAAATTATACAAAATGAAACTATTATTTATTAATGACGATTTTAGTATACTAAAATTACAGAATATTATCTACATAACATAAAACAATTCACATAAAATACAAAACTAATGTAGTTAATATACCCGTTTTGCTAGTGATCATTAAAATAGTCCACGATCTCTAAGATATAACATATTATAACAATAAGATAATAAGGATAAGATAATAAAGATAATAATAAGGGATATAACAATAAGATCTTAATGGTTTATTAGGCGCTAAGGAATATGTACCTATATTATAATGATTTCTTTGACGTCAATGAGGTAAAACAAGGTATAAACACTAGGTATGGAAACAGGTTTGTGATTATTCTGGTCAATCTAATATAATTATGAACTAACGATACAGTAGACTTTGATATTATTAGTTGAGTTTGTAGTGCCTAAACTACTAAAATTGTATCGCATTTCTGGCGTGGTTGGAGACATTAAGTATACTAAAATATTTCCAATCACAATCGAGGAATGACGCCCGCACAACCGAAATCTGAGTTCAGTCAATATAACTTTCACAGTAGTCACCACATCTTCGAGGGTAGGTAGGTATAAAATAGGCACCGCGTACATATTAGATGGATATATAAAGTATTTTACATGACATATATAGATGTCATTAAATGTTTATAAAGTCTAGGGCATTGTAGTTGTAGTGTAATATATTTCGAATAGATGTCTTGTTATCACTGAGTATAGCGTGATTTATAAATAAAGTAGCTAAGTCATGATTTCCAGTAATTATTTATAAAAAGATAAAATAAAATACCTCACTTGTTCTACTACTATGTATTACTGTACAATAATTATACTTGCGTAATCTATACAGCTCTAAATTTTGATAAAAAAGAAGAAGCATCATACTTAAAAAGAATAACTACATATACACATTACTAACATTTTATGAAAATGTCTGTCTATCTGTCTGTTAAGTTTAACACATATCACTGCTAAAATACTAAGAAGAGAAAAAAAACGTAAAGCACCTGCAGTGACCTTTAGATTTTATTTTATTAAAATTGGTTAACAGCAGCAACATTAAGAACGGTAATTGTGATTTGAAAAACACTGTAAATTTTCAGAAACATTAATCCTTTTTCAAAAAAGTTGAACCGACTTCAAACAAAACCACAAAGAGCAGTAACAATTAAAAAATAATTACAAATGTAATTCAAAGAACCAAAATAAGTGCGACCCTCAACTCAACAGCTAACATTCGTAACAATAGATCGGCCTACTAAAATAACCATTTCAAACACATACATACTCATTCGAAAGGAAAAGGTGGCAAGATGTGAAGTGATGTGTAAGTGTATAACGAGGGAGAGCCATGCTTCGGCAAAAATGGGCCGACTCGACGGTTGATACTACGGCCTCACAGAAAACCGGTTGTAAAATAGCGTCGTTTTAAAAATATTCTACCCCAGGGGGTACCAGCTGCGTTAGCGTTGGAGAATCTCCCTCTAGACGTCCCTCATAACACCATGCGTCTGGACGTAGATGTCTGGGCTGCCCCGCGTATTCTGAGGGGGGGGGGGGGGGGGGGGGGCAACAGCGCTCGACAGGATATCTGCCCGCGGCGGGAGCACACACATCAGGCCTTCACTTTCCAAAATCGACGCTGTCCACCACCACCTCGAGGGAAAGCCGGCCTTGCTCTTTCTAACCGAGACGCAGATATCACCTCCATCTGACACATCCTACCACTCCTACCCTGGCTATCATCTGGAACACTCCTTTGTCGCTAGGGCTGGAGTGTGTGTGTAGCGACTTTAACGCTCACAACGCCGAATGGCTCGGCTCACGCAAGACTGACCTATTTGTTGTCACAACTGGTAACAACGCCCACGCGAGTTCCAGATGTGGAAAGTCATGAGCCTTCACTGTTGGAACTTCTGCTGTCTTCCGAACTGGACGGTTACAAAATCGCCCTTGAAGCCCCACTTGGCTCCTCGGATCATTGTCTAATTCGCAGTACAGTGCCACTCACTGCCGGAAGATCCCACCGTCGTTGCCGATTCTGTCACTGATGTAGTACTTCAGGGCATGGAACTATTCGTTCCTTCTGCTTTTTTTTTTTTTAAATATTTAAAGACTACTCCCGCACTAGGAATAAATCCTGTGTCGCGGGGGACTTTACAAACATACATGAAACGGACACAAAGAACACAGACAATAATTTGTGAATCACACAACTCACTGTAGAAGTGAGCGGCGTGGCGACCTGCTTAAACCACTACGCCATCCATGCAATCATTGATTCCCATCGGTGGCAGATCTAAGCCCTGTTTCGATAGATCCTGCAAAACGGCGTCCCGCCGAAAGCGGAAATGCTACCAAGCATGGGCAAATGCAGCGACGGCAGGCAAGTAAATACCAGCCCGCTAAAAACACAAAACATAACTTTGCCTCCAGGTCTCTTAAAAGAGCCATTGCTAGGGCGAAGTCGGAGCACATCAGCCGGATCGGTGAGAGACTGGTGAGACATCCTTGTGGAACATGTGTATTCTGGTCTCTTGCCAAGGCGGGGGAAACGTTGTCGACGGTGCATGCTCCGACTCGAAATTCGACTCCACAAGGCTGTGTGCTATCACCCACACTGTTTCTTCTGCATGTCAATGACATGTTGCAGACTAGTAGCAACCATTGCTATGCAGATGATGGCAGATGGCAGATGGAGATACTCTTTACATCGGCCGCCCCAATATTCCTCTTGAAAACGTCAAACAAACTTGTGTCTGAAATTGAAACTTCCTAAGCCGAGGTTTCAGATTGGGGCCGACTAAATCTAGTCCAGTTCAACCCAAAAAAGACACAGGTCTTTGCATTCACCGCAAAGAAGTTACCATTTGTCGCATCACCTCGGTTTGAGATAACCTCCCTAACTGCCTCAGCCAGCATCGAAATCCTATCCTAGGATAAAAAAATACAGCTTTATAAACATGGGCCTGTTGGTCTAGTGGTTAGTGACCCTGACTGCTAAGCTGGAGGTCGTGGATTCGATTCTCACCGGGTGGTGTGTCTGAATCGGACCGATTAAAACCACACGGTGTGCCACTCTGCGCCTGTAATATCAGGGATTATTTTAGGCGGTCAGAGCCGCTGCATACAGCGGTGCGCCTTACAGTGCCATTGACCGGTCAACTCCTGTGTACAGCCGTCTCGTCGCAACGCTGGGTCAACCCTGACTAGGCAAAAGTCGCCCAAGGGCAGACGCAACGCCAACCAGCTTTGGAGCAAGCAGTCGGAAGTGCTCGTCGAAGAGCCACCTCCCGTCGAGGATCAAGCCCAGATACTTCATCTGGGCCTGAACCGGTACGAGGACCGAGTTGACAACGATTGAGACGCCAGGGGTAGGACCATGACGGGCCCATGAAATAATGGGGCCTCCGTCTTATCCAGGACCTTCTTATCCGTCATATTATGTCTAAGGACACCACCAACAGCACGCCGCTGCGGCTTACCGGCTCTTCGGTCTCGGTCCTGAGGCGCAACACAGCGCCGACTATCTTCTTGGAACACAGCATAGGAACATAGTACAGGCTCTGCCTAGTATGAAATCAGACTATCGTATGTGAGACGTTTGAAGTTATTTTTATCAAAAAATCTGAAGAATTATTTTAGAATTATCTAGTCTAGTATAGTCTAGTTAACAATGCACGGATGGCGTAGTGGTTTGAGCGCTGGCATCGGCGCTTCCTACGGTACTGAGTGTTGCGGGTTCGCTCCCCACGTGGAACAACACACCATATTCCGAGTTGTGAGTCATGTTCATGAGACATGTTCTGAGTCCGTTTCATGTATGTTTGTGTTAAAGTTTGAATAGGTTGACCTGACATTGAACTAAAAGTCATTTGGCATAATCATTTAACTATTTTGAAAACCATTTAAAAATGACATTAGTTTGAGACCCTGAAAAGACACATATGAATAAAACTTCCAGATGTATTTTTCTCAAAGAGTAATTAAGCTAACATTGATCGAAGTCCGAGATGGCTTTTTTGCCAGCTATTATAGTATGATTCGAGACGCTGTGAGATACCATTTTAATTACAGCTCATTCTTAAGGATTTATATAAATAGGAGATGTTTGTGTGCAGATCATCATACATGCTTCTAGTTTCCTAGTAGCAAGACAGGACTAAGAGCAAAACTAAATATGTCGAAGTTTACCTTGTTATTTGTCTGTGCGGTGGCTGCGTTAAGTAATGTTTACGTGAGTAATCGATATTGAGATAAATTTACATATTTGAATACCTATACTATTTACTTAGGACCTTATACTAATGTTTTTTTTTATATAACATCGAATTTTAACTGCAAACCCCATATTTAATAATTTTGGCACTGTGATATTATTATATGAAAATTTAAAAAAATATATTTTATTTACGGGCAAACAAGAATAGTCTTTTAAAATAGTCTTTTAATTATTTTCATAGTTTCCAGATATCAGTCAAGTCCTAAAGACATTAGCAGATTAATCATCATCATCAACAGCCTATACTAGTCCACTGCTGGACATAGGCCTCTCCTTAGAAAGGAGGTTTTGGCCTACTATACCACGCTGGCCAGACGGGTTGGTATAGGGTTTGTTTCAAGTTTTCCTTCTCTTTGCAGTGCTGTTGTCCTGCTTAGTTTGCTCCCTTAGTCGGCTCTTACGACACCCACGGGATGAATTGGGGTGGTGACAATTTGTATTCTTAATCCGTCACCACACGGACCAGCAGATTAATAGTTATTAACATTTTTTAAATATTTTTTAAACAGCTTAATCTTCGCTTTTCATGAGTAAAATCGGTTTTCCATCCCTCGACAATATTTTTGGCACTTGACACTAAATGTGTCACTAAATTCTTTACTGTGTATTGAAAAATATCATGATAATGTGATGACGGTCCGTCAGCCCGTAAAATATAAACGAAACAACATGGATTTATATAATACTAGCTGACCCGCTGTCCGTGTGTTGACGGATTAAGAATACAAATTGTCACCACCCCAATTCATCCCGTGGGTGTCGTAAGAGCCGACTAAGGGAGCAAACTAAGCAGGACAACAGCACTGTAAAGAGAAGGAAAACTTGAAACAAACCCTATACCAACCCGTTTGGCCAGCGTGGTATAGTAGGCCAAAACCTCCTTTCTAAGGAGAGGCCTATGTCCAGCAGTGGACTAGTATAGGCTGTTGATGATAGCTGACCCGCCCACCCGTCTGCGTCTCTTAAAAGGAATATATTTTGCCCGTTTTTGCAATATTTTTCATTAAAACTCTGCTCCTATCGGTCACAGCGTGATGTTAAATAGCCTATTTTCTTCCTCGGTAAACGGGCTATACAACACTAAAATAATTTTTCTGTAGTTCCTAAGATTAGCGCGTTCAACCAAACAAACAAACTCTTCAGCTTTATAGTATTGGTGTGGATTCGGTTGAGTTCTTAAATTGTAGTTACTCAACAGGCGCTTTCCGACGACGCAAAGGCAGCATTTCATGAAGCAATCAAGCCTCTAATAGAGGAATGTTCTCAAGCACATGGAATCTCCATGGACGAAATTAACGCTGCCAAAGAGGCCGGCACTTCCTCAGGCCTTAAACCATGTTTCCTTGGATGTGTACTCAAGAAAGGTGAAATTGTAAGTATACTATTAAATAATATATATTTTGTAAACTAATGTAAATTTGAATGTTTTAAATAAATCAGTTTTAGCCTACGACTTCGAACGTGTAGATTTTTTTTCTGTCTATACCTCGGTAATAATACATCTTTCAAGATAAAATTTAACATGTATGTCAACGAGTACGTCCTTTTCGAGTATTGAGGCGTTTCGGCCCGAGGACCGAAACGCCTTACAGCATCTTTTGAAATAAAATTGGAAATGAAAATGTACATAAATCAGGACGAATTCACAATCATCGGTCCTAAAAGCACTATTAGGTGTTTCGGTCGGCGGGCCGAAACACGAGCTAACCGAAACGCCCCAACAACCCCAGCCAACAAGGATTTCGTTAACTGTTCAATGAATAAAATTCAATATACAGATTCCTATAATATTTAATACCCAAATAGTTTGTAGGTTGGCTTGAAAAATAGACACAGACAAACTGAATAACTAAGTACCTTGAAATTTTAGAAACATTTTTATACCATGGAAAATTCAAAAATATGTATGTATATTATATAAGACCGTCTATTCCAGTTAAATAATCAAGGAGAATACGACGTTGATGCAGCTTTAAAAACAGTTAAGAAATACATAAGTGATGAAGGGGAATTCAACAAGTTCTCAGAGGTCAGCAAGAAATGCGCTTCAAGTAAGTTCATTCTTAAACATTGACATTATTCTGAGATATGATGCATTAATCATATCTAATAAGCCCAAAATCGATCTAAGTGGCGTGCAATGGGAGAGGCCTATGTCCAGCAGTGGACTGCGATAGGCTGATGATGAATCATATCTTAGAAAGTACTTCATAAGCCATTTAGTCGCCTCCGAAAAATGATAGGTTATAACATTTTGGATGTAATTTCAATAGCAATGTAATAATCGCCCACCTTTATTAGCTTACCTACACTTTTACCACCATCAATTGTTTTGCTTTAAAATCTAATCTTATCATATTTCTTTGAAGAAGTTTCATGTCACTGTAATAGTGTTAATGCTTCCACTATTTGAATAAATAAATAATTTATTAACAAATTAATTTCGGTTAATAAAATATCTTTAACCATTTTAACTTTTATTGACGAGCTATTAACAGCTTTATGATATAACTGCCTAAGTACTTAAACTAGAAGATAAGACTGTTTAAATGCCTAATGAAATAAAGCAGTTCGAATGTAGTAAAATCATATGAACTCTATTTTAACATTGTAAATTGAGATTGCTCGGTTGGTCGAAACAAAAAAAAAAACGTTCGTTACTTTGGTATATAATTATGAATTCATGGAAAACATGATATTTGAATCAATGCATGTATGAATGGTACAATATTTATTAATTAAAATAAAATTATTCCCATGTTAACTAGTGTTTCTGGTTTTCACACACATTTATTTTCTAGTACGACTGAAACATCGGTCAATCGCACAGAACAATGTATGGTTTGAGTCGGTTCGAACCCGACACTACTACTGCCTAGACGTTTAGCCACGATGCCATGAAGACCCGTGCGGGTTTCGCAAAAAAAGACATTTATGGCCATTGCTCCGCTCCAAAGTGTCATAGCCTGAACTTGCATTGCCTTTATGATCTTTCCCAAACATTTTTGTAGTTTCAAAGATAAGCTCGTTTAACAAGAAGACTATTAGCTTCAGTATGTAATTATACACACGCATTAGGCAGTGGTTTTTACCCTAATGTGAAAATAGTGTTGTCCTGGGTTTTTATAAATAGTAACTTAAGATATGGAAAACGTTTTCATAGCTTATGTTGTTAGTTTCTATATAGTAATGATAGGTACCAGTAATTATAAGTATACCATTCGAAACAAGAATAGAGAGAACATCAAGTTTGGTTTACTACTGAGTAGATATTATTAAAGTTCAAGTTAAGTAAGTTATACCTAAGTACAATATTGATACTATAATAACACTATGATTTTACGAATCTATATGAAATGTATACTAGCTGACCCGACTAGTGGGTTTTTTAAAATGAATTGCTTGTGATCGTTTTCATTCCATAAAAAACCTACTTTCATTTGTTTTCAATTTCTAAATTTTTCGGAAAATATTTTAATGCTTGAAACCTAGGTTAAACTATTTCTTTTTTAATAAATTGTATGTTCAGCCGTCTTTTTATTCCTTACAGTTAATGATGAGGCAGTGACTGATGGAGCTGAAGGCTGCGAAAGAGCTAAGCTGCTATTATCCTGCATTCAACAAAACAAGGCCGGGGTAAGATTCAAAATAATGACAGATTTTCAATAAGTAACAATTAGGTTTGAAAGAAAATGATCAAGGACTTCTTCTTACATGATGACTTTAAATAAAGAAAAACGAAGAAAGTAGGCTACATATATACCTCTAATTTCCCGCCAATTCCTATGCCAATTCTTTGTAATCACATGTTTTTTTTTGTTTCTCAGATTCTGTAATCGAAGCGAAATAGCTCCAATACTCTTCTTCAAAGTGATTGTATTCAATAACTGCATTAACTAATAAATGATCAAATGTATATTACACTTATTTCTGAAATAAAAGATAATCTTCTATATTCAAACCGATTTTTAATGTCTAACTATGTATGTCCAAAGGCAATTGGCCTACTCGCTGTCACTCCACACTCCCTCTCTCCTAGCAACACTGGGAAAATAATGTCACATGGTTTGATACTTTGTTTTTATCTTATGTGTGAAATAATGAGTTTTTATGACTGATAGTAAGAAGATATAAATCTAAAACATCTAGTCACTATTAGTAATTTAGCGCAGGCTAATTCTTAAGTGCAAAAGTGACGTGGGTTAGGGTGGTTTTTTGTTATATTTATATTTATTTTTTATGTTTCACTTCACTTTCTCTTTTATTTGATCTTTTTCCCTAATCTCATTTTTCTCTTTATTGTTTTATTACTTTTTAGTTCTTAATAACGGACATACTAGCACACATCAGATCAATGTTGGGGTATATTTAATGATGACATTGTATTTATCTGTAATGCAAAAGAGTGACTATGAGTTTGTTTGCCCTTTCTTCTCATAAGGCTCAACCCCTTGGAAACGGGCGGGTGTAGATCGGCACAGGCATATCATAGATTTTTATTAAATTTATTTTCCTAACTATTTGACAAAACAGAGATTGTTGCTTGTGTGTGTGTGTTGATCTACGACTTTAGAGTCCACATAAAATATCATTTCAAAGTTTTTTTTTTTTTTTTATGAAATAAAGTTTTTTGAATTTGAATTAGAAGTATTTCGCTCTTACCTACCGGAAATCTTTTACAACTAGACGTAGTGTAGAATGAAATAGGTATAGTACTTACCCACCGTTGCTATGTTACACCGTCTGATAAAATAATATTATGAATAAAAAGTTGTTGCAAGAATATCATATATTTTTATATTCTCATCCAGTAAAAGTTGTTGCGATAAATTCTTGTTTCAGTCATAATAATAAGCTAAGGATATAATACAATTATGCAATGTATACAGAAAAAGTGTTGAACTAAATTCATGATTTCTAAGATTTTTCTACAACTAAGAAATGGCTGAACTTAAAAATTGTTATTTAATGTTTAGCCTGTTAGATAAGTTACAGTAATTAAAATAAGTTTATTGAGATATAAATAATTAAGTATATTTTTTTGGGGTTTTAATAAAAATTAAGTTGTGTATTAAATACCACTAATATTTTTTTTTCCTAAGTACTGAACAATATAAACTTGTTAACTACAGGAAGTAGATACAAATAAAACTAAACTTTAACAGCATTTTCTAATTTATGTACATAAAAATAGATTAATTGTCACCTAAAACTATTTTACTACCAAACTTTGAGTATATAAAGAACGTTTTACCAGGAGAGAAACATAGTCTTTCAGAGTTTTAACAAAGAGTCAACAGAAAGAAAATAGTAACTATCAAAATGTCTAAGCTTGCCACTTTTCTTCTGTGCGTTGTAGGTGCGAGCCTGACTGTAGTTTCAGTAAGTATAACAATCAAAAAGCTTTCATCTTTCTGGTATAACAGTTATTTTTGTAAGTTAATACATTAAATACATATAGTTTAAAAAGTAATTTATATATGATACCTTGTTAGCATGTCTGAACATTGATTTTTTACGTGAAACGCCGGCCATTAGACCACAACTAAAGTACTAGGCGATATCGAAGCGCTGTAGAAAGACTGTTCTCGGACTTTATAAGGCTTTCTTTGCTTTGGAGAGCACATTAAGCCGTCGTCTATATTTCAAGACCCATCCATAGGCTGACCTGGCTAGTGTTGTTTAACTTTACATTATGCCACGAGCAGTTCGTGCAATAGCGAGTAATGAGTTTCTTAATTTGAAAATAATTCACAAAATAATAAAAAAATAATCCTTATTAGGCGATTACTGACGAGGAATTGGCTGCCTTCCGTCTGGCCATAACACCAATCATAACTGACTGTGCTGAAGAATATGACATGAGTAAAAATGACATTGAAGCTGCCAAACAGAACAGGGATGCCGACGCTGTCGCATCCTGCTTTGTTGCATGTGGATTAAAGAAAATTCAAGTTGTAAGTATTCTATACTCGTACACATTATTAACAACACTGTTTTTATATAGAGATTGTGAGGTAGAAAGACTTTCGATCATGAAAATTCATCTTTTTTCTCAAGTATTTTTTTTAAATTGTTTAAAATTTTAGCATTCTACACTACGTTTGAGTATTCCAAATGATATGCTTCTTAATTCGCGACCTTTTAATGTTTTTACAGGGAATTCTCCTCATGTGTTACTATATAATTAGGATTATAAAAAAATAATGTTTTGGAGAACTCGATCGTGACTCATATGCTTTTAGCCCTTAAATAAAATGGCTTCCTGCATTACGAGTATATAAAGTATGATTGTGTGTATCATTGTGCTCAATAAAAACACATTTTAAAATAGTTTAACCTTTTACCTTTTTAGTTGGATGACAACGGCATGTACGATGAGGATAAAGTTCTTGAAAAACTAAAATACTTTGTCAAAAATGATGCAGATTTAGCCAAATTTGAAAGCATTGCCCAGACATGTGCTAAAGGTTTGTTAGCAATTTTCGTCTGATCTTTTTTTATTTATTAACCAAAACTTTAAACGCATATGGTTAATAACACTTTGTCACATAAACCATCGCGATCGTGGGTTTATCAGTGATATATTTGGACACTTACATCTCGTTAAAAATAGTTTAACATCTATAACTTATAACGTAATAACGCAACCCCGCAACTCTTAATTAGTAAAGATACTGGTAGGTAGACTGTTTAAAAAAAAATAGCCTTGAAAATTTTCGAATGGACTATCTTTCGTGTTTCTATGTTCATTTTGAATATCTTTTCGTTTTTGAATAGTTATTAAATTATAAAACCTGTCCCGATAAAATTGTGGCGACCTTTATGTAGAGTGGAATCACACTTCTCTTACTAACTTCATTAAACGAAGATATGTTAAGCTACGTAGCTATTAGGACCCTACCTATATTAATATTTTTACACAACCCAATAACAATAACATCGGTTAGGTTTGGTGAAAAGTCTTCCGTTTGCGTTGACAAAGCTTAACACCCGGTCCTCTACAAAGTGATTTCATTGTAGTTGAAATAAATAAAACCGCACAATTCCACTCTCTCGGAGGAGAAACAGATATGCCACTAAATTCAAGACTTGGTCGATAACGATAATTATTTTGAAATATGCTGTCTTGCCTCCTGACAGTGGTTGAAAAGTTCTTTATCCATCTGATGAAACATTATATAAATCTATTTTTTTCAGTGAATGACGAATCCGTCAGTGACGGTGCCAAAGGATGTCAAAGAGCTAAACTTGTTTTAGCATGTGCTTTCAAACACAGATCTGAGGTAAATATAGTATTTGATATTTACAAGTAACATTATTAAAAAATAAAATAAGATGAGTCTGCTAACCGATTTATAAAGTAATCGAAGAATAAAGGATAAGAATAAAAGATAGGATATGCAAGTATCGATTAAGTGGAAGGTAAAAAAAAAACTTAGGGAGAAATCTCTAAGCTATCCTTACATTCCATATTAATCATTGCGCGATGTTGAAATCACAGGAATAAGCTAATTATACAGAAATTTGTTGGTAGTTTTTTCAGCGGAAGTTATTATTTGACACATTAGTTAATTGTTTTTTTTTAATTTCAGATGCCATTTTAATTGAAATAAGATCACAAAACACGTTTATCTAATTCGGACCCTGCTGAGACCAAATCATCATATCCTGTTATTTAATATATTTATTTATTATTTGCTGTATCGTGTATTCCAAAAAGAAATAAAAAATAATTGTACCATGCAATAACAACATATTTTTTTTCATATAAACGAAACTTACCTACGCACCTTAGCTTAGAAAAAAATCTTGAGCTCAAAACCGTAGCAATATACAAGACAATACACGTGAGTGAGAGTGAGAGTGCTGTCCTCCCAGAATTTTGTTAGAAATAAGGAAAAATTACAATAATTAACTCAGTCAGCAGATCCGTTCAGTAGTGATTGTATAACAGATATCCACCGAGACTTTAGGCATATACAGGGATACTGATTAAGTCGAATATGAATATATGATATTTTAAGGGGTTGAAGTTGCCATTATTTCTTAAGATTTCACTATGAAATACCATATCCCAAACCTAACCATTTTCAAGATGTTGGACTTTTAAGATTTTTTATACAATTTCCGAAATTTTACCTAATACAATTTTTTTCACTGTTTTTGTATAAATTATACATTGTTTTATAACTTTTATTACCAAAATTGTAGTTAACTTAAGAAACTGGACAGTCTGTAGAGGATTTATAATAGCTATAATAAAAAAAAACATTTGTAAGAAAAAACTATTCTTTACGAATATTTAAAAAAAAACTATGACAGTTGAATGGCAGATTTATTAAAAAATATGTACGTATTTTTCTAATAAGGTATGATAGTAGTAGATAGTATCACAATAATTTTTAAAGGTTTGGTAATACAAGTTATAAAATAATGTATGCATTATACAAAAACAGTGAAAAATAAATTGTATTAGGCATAATTTTCTTGAATTTGTATAAAAACTTATATATAATATTATTTTTATGAAAATTGACGAAATTTTGCCTATTACATTTTTTTAGAACATATCATTTATTTTTTCTCTTTTACTGTTCATCATGATCATCATCATCAACAGCCTTTAACATTCCACTGCTGGACATAGGTCTTATTAGAAAAGAGGTTTTGATTATACCACGCTGGCCAGACGGGTTTGTTATAGGATTTGTTTTAAATTTTCCTTCTCTTTGCAGTACTGTTGTTCTGCGTAATTTTTCCCTTAGTCGCCTCTTACGACATCTACGGGATGAATATGGGTGGTGACACTCCGTATTCTTAATCCGTCACCACACGGAAGACTTACTATTATGATTTCCTTAGAAATTGATCAAGAACAACGCACTAGGAAGATTTTCCTAACTACTTTAATGTATACTACTCGATTATCTTTTTATCTGTCATATGTACGGTTAACATCTCACTATACTGGCTAGTTTTCAATAACATTTCCATATCCTATCTAACTTAAACAAAAAAATAATTTAATTCCTTAATAGTCTTTATAGTCAATTGTTTCGAATAAATGATTAACAATTTTTTATTTGCCCCATTGCTCTGAGAATGAGCAAGACGCTCATCTATACATATCTATACAAATAAATAAAATTGGAGTGTCTGTTTGTAATATTAAAATATCCGCTTTTAACTAAATGCATATGTATGTTTACACGGTTCATATGCCAAAATAACATTTTTTACAATTTTTGTCTGTCTGTCTGTCTGTTTGTTCGGGTAATCTCTGGAACGGCTGCACCGATTACGACGGGACTTTCACTGGCAGATAGCTGATAACATAAGGAGTAACTTAGGCTACTTTTTTCAGATTAGCTTCGCCCCGCGGCGTTGCCCGCGGTTATAACAACAAACGCGGGTAACACCGCGGGTCTCAGCTAGTCATTAGTATAATTTATCGCTAGCCTTATCAAAGTTTTGCAAAAAAAAGGTGCCTTACACGCTACTGCCGCTATGCGTATACAAGTGAATTGCTCAAAAAATTAACAAACAGCTTTGAAATATTGCCTTAAAATATTGATAGAAAAAGTGTTAAAGAAGTGTGTTTCTGTTAAAAGAAATAAATTTTCCTCGTTTTTGCAATATTTTTCATTGATACTTAGTAGCTATTGGTGTTATAGAGCATATATCATTACTCGATAAACGGGCTATCCAACACTTAAAGATTTTTTAACGGAACATTAGCGCAAAATTTCATGCTTCTAGACTCAGCGGTTTCAGCTGTGCATTGATCATTGTCATCAGTCAGTGAATCAGTCTGTCAGTTCCATCTTTTATGGGTTCTGTGTCTGAGTGTAATTTATCTATGATATATATGTATTTAGAAATATAAAAGTATGTATATCAGCAGTCCAGTTACCATAGTACAAGCTCTACCTAGTTTGGCATAAGACTGGCATGTGTGAGATGTGTAAAGTTATTCTTATTATTATTACTTTCTTGTAAATATGGCAAATAACAGGAAACACCCGATGTAACAAAATTAAAGAAAAACAAAAGACTAAATGAAACTTCAATCTAATTAAATTTAAGTTAGGTATATAGAGAAACCTAAGTTGAATCTACTGACATTATTATGATTGATGAACAAAACAAATAGGACGAACGAAAGGAGTAAAATAAAAAATTGAGATTAGTATGTTTTTATTTATGAAAGAAGGGGCTCCTAATGGAACACTTTCCGCACTATCGCCGCCTATGAACGCCTGCAACTCAGGTGTTTCCGTTATAGCGCTTCTACATTATTTAATTAAAAGTGACCTTTATATTATCTACATGCAAGTATTCTTGTCAGAGGTGCTTTTAGACGTAGGTAAGCTTTACGGGTGGAAATTTTAGAATATCTCAGCGGTTTTAATGAGGCTGAAAAGGATACGTTCTGTTCTTGAGCGTGTTTTGTACCGTTGAAGTGAATTTTTTGCAGACTTAAAGACAAAAGAACGTGATGCGTTATTTGTTCGATATAAAGTTTATTTTTATTAAATACTAGCTGTACCATGCCACATTGTTGATGCATTGGTGAGAAATTAGCAGTAAAAAAGGAAACGGTTTGTACGTCGCGCGTCGTGTCCAAATTGGATTACAATCGGTGCAGAACTTTTTGACTTTTTAAACTGTACACATACTAACTTAACATTTCTACATAAAAACTAGCTGTACCCTGCCATGCTTCGCTGTGGCACACGGTAGTTGCAAAAAAGGGATTAAAAATCATCTTTGAAACGTACTGTATATCGTGTCAAAATTTCAGCTTAATCGGTGCAGAACTTTTTGAGTTCTTGAAGCGTACAAAAACCAACTTAACATTTACGAGTATATATATATATATATACTCGTAACTCGACTCTATATCCCATAAGAGCATGTAGAAAGCTCTACAGGAATGCGAATTACCAGCAGAGACTATAGATCTTATAAAAGACATTTACCACAAAAGCAAAAGTCGTGTAAAACTGGAGAGACGGGGTCCCGAAATAAACATTTGTAGAGGCGTCAGACAGGGTGACCCCCTGTCACCTAGAATCATTATAGCTGTACTCCAAGGTATAATGAAAACCCTGAACTGGGAAAGAAAAGGTATTAATATTAATGGGAAACTCTTCAATAATCTTAATTTCGCGGACGAAATTATCCTCTTATCTGAAACAGCATCCCAATTACAGAAAATGATAAATGAAATAAACGACGTAACTAAATGCTGCCAAGACTAAAGTCATGACAAACTAACACACTATACCAATAAGTGTCAATAACAAGTCATTAAAATATGTACAAAGCTATATTTACCAGGGACAACAAGTATCCTTCTCTAAGACCAGACACGAAGATGAGATAAAAAGACGAATAAATATAACCTGGAACAAATTCTGGAGCAATAAAGAAACCCTAAAATCGAAACTCCCTATGAAGCTAAAGAAAAAAAATATGGACTCATGTATACTACCGTGTCTTACGTATGGCTGCCAAACGTGGATATACAATAATAACACTAAAAAACAAAAGTGTGCCAGAGGGCGATGGAACGAAGTACACTTAACATACAAAGAAAACACAGAAAAAGAAATACAGAAATAAGAGAAACCACAAAAATAATAGATGCTTTGGAACACTCTCAAAAACTAAAATGGAAATGGGCGGGTCATATTGCACGTATGGACAAGGAAAAATGGACACTGAGAATACCTAGCAAGGACCAACAAACAAAAGAAAAAGAGGTAGACTAAGAGAAAAATGGGTTGATGAAATAGTTTGAAAAGCCGGTGACAACTGGTTCACAAAAGCAAAGGACATCAAAATGGAAGAGGCCTATACCCGTTTAGGGGTCCAGAATGAATGATAAAAATCGATCTAAAATAAAAATGGAGTCATTTAATATTTAGAAAATTTATTTAAAACAATGAAAACTGAATTTATTTATTTAGAAACTTATTTAAAATGACGCTATGTATTATACTACTGTTATATAATAATCATTGTATCAATTGTAATATTTTATTAATTCATGCATGCACTTAATATGTACTTTTAATTCCTGATATATTTATATTCGAAAGCGCTCAGCAAGTTGGTTAGACCCTGGTTCAGCACCAAAGCAATGCCCTAAACCAAAAATGACCCCTATAAAGGTGATGGTCACTGGTTGGTGGTCTAGTGCGGGTGTGATTCACCACAGCTTTTTACAAAACGGCATGAGCATTAATGCATATGTGTACTGTGAAGAACTGGAGAGAATGATGGAGAAGCTTGCACATCTGCAACCAGCTTTGGTCAATCGGTCGTCCCCACTGCTCCTTCACGACAACGCGCGACCTGCGATCTGCGCAACAGACAGTCTCCAAGCTGCAAGAGCTGGCGTTGGAAGCTCTCCCTCATCCGCCATACTCACCAGACCTTGCACCTACCGACTATTACTTTTTCCAAAATTTAGACAACTTTTTAGTGGGTAAAAAATTCAATTCCCGAGAGGCAGTACAAAATATCTTTGAAGAGTTTGTTGCCTCCCGTCCAGCTGATTTTTACAAGAAGGGCATCAATAAACTGCCAATGTTTTGTAATTTATTCATTCTGGAAATAAAGAGGCTATAACAATAACAATATATAGATAAGACTGGTACACAGCCTCCAAAAGTACTAGACCAGATAGTCGTTTTGGCACTGAGGTTCTATAAGGATTCTTATTTCAAAAGGTAGATCGATGACAGAAGTAATTTTGTTAGTTAGACAAAACTAATATAGAACAACATTGCTTTAAATGGATTTATTTGTGATTCTTGTAGATTAGACACGAATTAATCTAATCCAATTTAACCCCACAAAGTTTCACAAGTTCACGCGTTGACCCCCTAAAATATATCATATTTCACTCTGCATTCTTCATTGATTCTATCTGCTGTTTTTCGTCATTGTTCAACGCAATAAAACTTCTATTCCGCTACTTAGCCATTTGACACACTACCAAACATTGAGTGCCGCGCTTGTGACTTCTGAATTGCGGGCGTTCATAAGCGGCAGTAGTCACTTTCCATCAGGTAAACGGTGCTCGACTAGGTTATAAAAAAAAAGACTGTTTTCAAGAGCTTTTTTGCCTCCAACATCAATTGGTGCACTAAATTATCGCCTGCGGTATTTTCAGACCTATACTTCTATTAAAGCTTCAAAAAAAGAGCATATTCCCACATTCCAATGCAATGACAATACCATTAGTTAACGTTTTTCATTGTAGGTTTCTTTGTCCCCTACATTATAAAATCATTTATACCTACTTCTTAGGGTGCAACAAGAACTGGTGTACTGAAACTGTTTAGGCAAAGGAAACATTTTATTGCAGGAAGTCGATAACCAATTAAAATGTTAATAGTTTTATAGACTTAGTGGTTGATTCGCACACTTTGTGCGAAACGACCCTTCTTAAAATTAATATTTTTAGGTCTAGGGTATTAGTGTGCGAATCAATACCTTTAGAAATATGTGGTGGCGATTCGCACATTTTGTATTGTAACGAGAAAAAAAAATAAAAGTACAGGTGTGCATATATTGTTATGTATGTTCGATAAAAAAAATATAGCCCATGTTGCCAGACGAGCAGCTGTCCATCTTATTAGTAAGTAAGTAGTAACCGCCGCTCAAGGACTTCGGCAATGCCTAGGACACAGCCAAGCCACTGTCTACCGTGTTAAATCTGATTATCAATCCGATAAAGTGGAACAAATTGTTTCATCTGCAGACTTCCTAGTAGAAGTAAGTAGCTGCAGATTAACGGCTTAACCGACTAACATACGGTAAAGTAGGGCGATAGTGATGATAATACGGTAAAGTTAAATTTAGGTTAGGTTAGAACAGTGACCATTTTGAGGGCCGTGATCGAATGATGATACATTTGTCACATCCCTCGGTGGGAACTTTCAAGAGGCGGCACGCCTGGCCACCAGGGGAGTTTCTCTGGTGGTCGGGCGCATTGAGGCGCTGGGCTGACGAGGGGCCCTAGATAAGACGGAGGCCCTCTTATTTCATGGGCCCTGGCGTACCGGCTCAGGCCCAGATGCATCGGCCACTGGGCGACTTTTGCCGTATCTGGGTGGACCCAGCGTCCACGGCTGTACACGGGGGTTGTCCGGTCAAGGCAGTGCCAGGTACGGGCAACGGTTTTGACCGCCCAGAATAGGGTGCGCCTTAGGCGTCCGCAAAGGGTATTGCCGGTTAGAGGTATACGCGATTACCACACCGTGTCGACGCAGGTGGCGTGCGCGTTGGCCGGAACTCCCCCGTGGGATTTGGAGGCGGGAGTGCTCGCCGAAGTATATCAGCGGACGACTGAGTTCCGGGTTGTTAGTGGCAGTCGGCCTTTTCTTCCGACTAACGCAGGTCCTTTCCGGGCTCGGCTGCTTCAGGAAATACCTGCACTCGATCGCTAGAAGAGAATCGAGTCCCGCATTGAGTGGTTACATATACACATACTGCGATTGCAGTGAGGACTCGGCCCAGCCCACTCAGCAGCAGATCCAAACCATTTTTGGTTAATCATTTGGGTTAGATGAGGTTATAACAGTCTGATGTTGAAAAGTATTTTTCACAGATTTTTTTCTTAATAATGGTAAATAGCATTTTCTTAAATAAAATTCATTAAAGAAAATGTGTGCGAATCACCACCACATTTTTCTAGAGCTGTCGATTCGCACATTAACTAATTCCGTGTAACCAACTCAAACTAAAAAAATAAAGATTATATCGACCACTAAGCCGTTTTATAGTCTTCACAACATTAACGAAATAAAAACAGTAACATACTTTAAACAAATTTACCATTAAATGCTAGGTATATAAAGTGGAGTTGTTGCATAGGAAATGTATATTAATTGTAAGTAACAGTGACTTAAAGACGGTGTAAAATATAAAATATTCAAAAATGCCAAAGTTTACCCTTTTTCACTTGTGCGTCGTAGCTGCAAGTCTGTACATAGTTTCTGTACGTAAACCGTTATATGTATAAAAAAAAATAACGATCCCTTGTTTCTTAATACATATATTTATACATTTTATTTAATAACATATTTTCTCTGCTCTTTAATAATATCCTTTTTTATATAATAAATGCAATTTTTTATATTAGTTTATCGGAAACAATCTGTAATCCAACTCAATAGCTTATACTTTTAAACTAAAATTTCAATTTTGCTATGTAAGCATTTGGGTAATACGAAATCTAATTATCAGAAATTGAATAAAGGCTTACAGTGTTTGTGTTACACAGTAATCTATCCACCACATGTTTTACAAGTTTTTTACGCAATATAACTGTTATTTTCTTCATTTTTGAAACTTGTTATTTTTGGTTGAAATAATTCTCACCAGGCTGTTACTGAGGAAGAGATAAAAGCCTTTCGTAAAGCGATACGCCCAATTATAGAAACGTGTTCTGAGGAATACGGCGTGGTTAGCGGTGATGTTCAGACTGCCAAGGACAACAAAGATGCCAATGCTGTAAAACCCTGCTTCACAGAATGTGTTTTGAGGAAAATAGGAATTGTGAGTATTTACGTAATGGTCAGAAAAATTATTGTCCAAAAATAACCCAAAGCTCAATATTGACCTCAGAAGACTTTAAGAATTGCGATGAAATTATATATATCTTTTGAATTTCAGTTGGATACCAATGGTTATTACGATGCAGAGCGAGGTCTTCATGGTCTTAGAAAGTTTGTAAAGAATGATGAAGATTTCGCGAAGTTTCAAGTCGTTGCTATGAAATGCACGAAAGGTTTGTTAGCTGTTTGTCTACTCTTAAAGGCGTGAATGATAAAGTGATGTAATGAAGATTAATTAAACGGATGATAGAAGTTAGAAGGTTATGACTTCAAATATTCAAATAATTAAGAAAGTTACTCATGTTACTAAAAGATTTAAAATATTTTGATACTTGTACCTCAATGTTAAGTGACATCCTCATTTTATCTACTACCCAACTATTGAAACGATGCCATATCGTACGACATAGTTCGTTAATTTATTAGTCTACTTATGTAACTAATTAAACTCCAACTTTATTACAGTGAACGACATACCTGTCAGCAAAGATGAAACTCGTTGTGATAGAGCCATGTTAGTTTTGGGGTGCGGCTTTGATAATATAGCTGAGGTAAGGACACGCGACTGAATTGTTTTAAAAGATATGGTAGTGGTAGGGTTTCTCTCGAATCGAGGCCATATTCGTGTGGTGACGGATTAAGAATACAGAGTGTCACCACTCCTATTCATCCCGTGGGTGCCATAGGACAACGCAGGAGAACAGCACTACAGAATAGGAAAACTTGAAACAAATCCTATACCAACCCGTCTGGTCAGCTCGGTATCGCAGGCCAAAACCTTCTTTATAAGGAGAGGCCTATGCCCAGCAGTGGACTATTAAAGGCTATTGATAATTATGATGAAGCCATATGATTAGCAAATATCTAAATTCTTGAAGCAGTCTAGGCAAGTTAGAGCCGATTATATAAGTTTGTATTGCTTTTCATAAATGCCACTGTAAAGGGCCTTGGAAGTATAGTGCGAGTGTTAGATAATGGCTCGCCAGTTATATACAAACAGTATATTACAAATACAGGAACAGTGACCGCTTATCGTCAGGCTTATTTTCTTCAATGTTGCTTTTAGTAGTAAAATAGAAGAATAACATTTTTATAATATTCTGACCACAATCTAAATTTGTTTTATGTTAATTTTATCTTTGAATCGCCTTAAATTGTACAACCTGTAAATCTCTCTTGCTTCTCCTTTCATCAGTCAATGGTCACATACTCAAAAAAAGACAACAAAAATTTGTGATCACGGTTCCCACAATATAACCACATAAAATTTATATAAATAAATTATTGAATGCTCTGTTGTTTTGTGAAAAATACATAGTATATTTCTAAAATTTCAGATGCCGCTCAAGTAATACAAAATTATGGAATCTTCCAAGCAGTTAAGTCCCAGAAAAGACAAACAAACCAACCTATTTTATTTAGTATTTCACTGTATTTATTTAAAACAGGCATGATGAAATAAAGTATTTTATTTAAAATAACAGGTCACTACCGGAGTTCTATAATAAATGAAAATGTCGTTTAGATTAGATTGCCTGGTGTTAAAATTCGATCATAATTTGTTAGGTTTTAACTGTTGGTTTCATTTCAGTGGCGAATATAACTTGGACTTTTATTTTGTTGTTTGCCGTAGAACGACAGTCGCTTTTTTTTTCTGTGCGGAACTCCCCTCGGATACCACCAGTGGGTGATTATGTCGGACTCGAACCGACAAAAAACCGCACGCCGTCTCTAGATACCAGTGGCCGGAGAACCAGGTATACCCTAGAAAGGAAAGCCCTAGTACCCCGAAGTAGCTCGGGCCATCTCCGGCTTATAGATGACCACTCCTGTGTGGGAACCCGGATGTTTCCTTTCTGCCCCGAAGGGCGCGCGCGCTCCGTAGCGTGTCGTGCCATTACCCACCCTGGCCTGATTCTACTGGAGTGACAGATGGCCTCACCTGTCACCCTCAGGCCTGCGCTTATGGAGGACTGAGGTTGCTCTGCGACCTAAGGCGCCCGAGCCGTCTGCGGTACCTGGCCCGTTCTCGGGCCTGGCGAGCCGGGAGCATAACCTGCTCGCAGAAGGAGACGGCGGAGTTCCACGCACTCTGGCTACGCACCATGGCCGCAATCATGTTAAAGAGCGAGAGATCTCCCACCCCGATGGCCGCTACGAGGTCACACCTCTGCTCCACCCACGCTGGGCATTCTGCTAGAGTGTGGAGCGCCGTGTCCACGGTCCGGCCATCGCAGTGGTGGCACCCAGGCATTGGCTCCTTGCAGATCAGACACGGTGATCCCCGAAGCATCCTTTCATAGTGATCACCTGCGTCAACCGGTATGAGAGGGTCCCGTGATGCCTCTCGAGCCAATCCTCAATAGCGGGTCTTACCGCCGCGATGACAGCGCGATAAAGCGTGCAAAAAGCGTGTAGAATGACAGACTAACTTAATAAAGTATACATATTTGATGCAGACGTTTTCAAGTAGGTACATATTTTTTTTAATAATACTCAGTCACTTATGAAATTTACCTAAAAGTGTTATTTTTGTTTACGAACAGTTGCAGTGATGAGCTAACTACTACTATTAACTATATAATTACGTAAGTTGTTGGTCATATAAACTAACATATTATAAGTAGGACAGGGCGATATCTCCCTTACAAATTTTATTGAATTTTATCTAAAGATACTTGATATTAAATAGGTTAACAAATTATGTGGTCTAATGAGAAAACTATACTCTTAATTCCTTAAGTGCCAAGTTAATTACCAATCTCTCAAATACAAGTCCATAGAAGCAGGGAGCTCGTGAACATTTTCGAGTATCGGACCTAACTGGGTAGATTATTTTCAGTTATATACCATTTTCGCGAAGGTTAGTGCGCATTATAATCAGATTTTGATGATGATTACCTATTCAACAACTTCGCAGTAATTTTCTGCAATTTCAACTACTGATTTTAAATCTATTTTCTCATAGTTTGGTTATGAAATCGTTATGCATAATTAACATAAAAAACAGTTGGAAAAGAACGAAGAAACCTTAGGATGCTCTGAGGCGGTTTCATTCACTAAAGAGGTTATTGAATTTTGTTACTTTGTTTCCACTGGGCTTTTGCGCTAATATAACGCAGAAAGTGACCTAACTATATTATTATATTTATTTATTAATTATGTTACTTTCGCTCAAATTCAAAATGATTTTCGTTCCTTTTTGTATTTTAATTTTGTATTTATGCCTATAATTAGAGAGGCATAACCTTGTTTTAGGATAAATCTATTACATACTCGAAATACTCTTCTGGTAAATAGACGATAAAGAAGATATAAAATTAACTAGTTTTGCTCCGCTTCACTCGCGTTATTAACGTTTCTTCAATATTTTTTTCTGGAAAAAACTAAGGCGAAACTAAAACTGAGGTCAGCCGTCGAGGTGGTTTTTAGTGAAAACACCACATTCCTTTCATCCATTTCCATTCCTTGCTCCTTCGTTCAGGTGTCAGAGATACGAAGGGAATTTCCACCCCGTCACGAAAGAACAGCTGTGTTTCAAACTAACTTAAAATAGGGCTTAGCACGGAGTCCAGTCCATTGCGAAAGACTAATCGTTATGTACGACTCTATTAAATACTCAGAGATGTTTTTATTTATCTGCGGTGGACATAATAAAATTTGACGTAGGAATATGCAAGTAAACTTTTGCTAAGGAATTTAATAACACGCTATTTAATATCTCTCTACTCTATGATAAAGATACTAACATCTAATTTTATTAATAACTAGTTAATCCACGTAACATCGTCTGTGGCTCTTAAAAGTTATAAATTTTCCCCGATCTTGCATATTTTTTCATAGATACTCCTATTGACCGCATTGAGATGTTATATACACTCATAGTTTGATAAATGGCTTATCCAAATTTAAAATATTATTTGAATTCGAACTATTAGTTCCTGAGATAAGCGCTAACAATCAACCAAACTCTTCAACTTTACAATATGAGTATAGATTTTGACCAATCGTTGTTTGTGCTGTAGTGATCCCTCCAACCAAGGATGAAGAGAAGTCTCCGTTCGCTTACTTATCCAAGACTGGTTCCTTTAGTCTAGCTCTCTCAGAAGACATTTTCTTTCCGAGATTGCTTGGTTAAAACCTGAAAATCCTTTGCGATTTTACGCATTTTGCCGATCCGAAATAAAATTGTGTGTCAGTAAAAAGTCGGTGTATGAATCTATAGTATGAAAAACGTAAAAAGAGTCATAAAGCTGACATGACTATTGGAAAGAAAGAGATAGAGAATTACAATATCTTGAACGCTTTCCCTCCCCTATGTTTCGGTATCATCGGTTCTAAAGCTAACATTAAAATTTGAATTTGAATTTCGCTCCTTTTTTTCACAATCCATGTGCACCTGCCATGTCCCTTACCAGACCATCTTAAGGTTGACAGGTAGATAATGCCATGCTTATAATGTGTAAATGTCCGCCTCGTGCAAGTTGTAAGGCAGGAAGTGTTACTACTTAGTCCTACATTACTTGTATGCCGGAGTGATACTACACCTCACAGAAAACCAGTGTTAAGCTATTTTTTCGTTACTTTTCACCGGGTGAGTGAAGTCACCGCAACCCAAACCCTGATCCCTCCTCCTGAGGGCCGAGTGCAAGTTTATTTCACATCGAATCGCTCTCGACGGCGAGCGCGTTTAGCGTTGCGATTGGTGGAGATTTCAGTGCGTGCACCGTGACGATCGAGTAGAAATGAAATAAACTCGCACTTGGCCCTTTGATTTTGGAGCGAGGGGAACGAAAGGCGTCAAGGCATTCGGTAACTCTTGAGTTGCAGGTATCCGTGGGCGGCGTTAGTCACCTAGCACCAGGTGACCAGTCTGCCCGTTCGCCCTCCTGTACCTTAATAAAAATGCATTTTTCACACTATTTCAACCACTCCCTAAAAGAAGAGAATCACTTTTTTATGTTTAATGATGAGCCTTCACCACTTTCACAGAATCACAATTTTTTTAAAGCAGCAGCAGAGATTTAAACAAACAGAAAATAAGGTACACAAGGACTTCAGCTTGAACCTTTTTTATAGTTTTATTAAAGAATAAAAGATGTTTTAAATATTTAAGCTTTCTTTACTTCTAAATATACACATTTAGTATTCGACATATAATAAGCTTCCCTGCGCCATATTTATTTAATAATGTGCACAAAGAATTTTCGTCACGAATTAAAATATACTTAGGAGTTATTCCAAAATGGGACGAGAGAGAAAGATATATTAACAACCGTGCTGGTATTTAAAATACAATAATTAGCAAATATTATGTGCATGGTTGGCGTATTGGTTTAAGCGGTCACCTCACCGCTTCCTACTGTGCTGAGTGTTGTGGGTTCGATCCCCACGGACAACACTTTGTGTAATCCACAAATTTTTGTTCTAAGTCTGGGTGTTCTTTGTGTCCGTTTCATGTATGTTAGTAAAGTCCCGCGGAACATAGGATATATTTCTAATGTTGGAACTCCAACATTAGAAATATATCCTAGGTCTTAAAAAATAAAAAAAAATATTCACTACTACATATTTAATAGTCCTTTGCTTTTAGTGGCTTTAATAGTCCACTATTGGACATAGGCCTCTCCTTAGAAAGGAGATTTAATATAAAAATAAGTAAAAATTACAAGTATGTTAATATAGTGGAAATACTTGTACTTGCACTAAATATTTCCAAGTAAATAATTTTACCCTTTTAGAACAAATGCGTATGTACACGGAGGAAAATTCAAGAGCATAACAATATTAGCGAACAACAATGCGATTAGAAACTTGAAAGTTTATTCATTCATTTTTAAACTTTAGCTTTAACCAATTTTGTCATTCAAAAGATGTTATCGTGTTAGTCACGATATAATCATTCCATCATTCCATCAATTCAATATTGCACATGACATTAAGCTGATAATTTTAATTTGCTTGTTTAAGGAAGTAGGTAAACAATGTATCTTTTTGGAACTTTTTGTATCAAGGACTGTCGTTGGTGAGATATTACGGAAATTGCCTAACCTCAAACGGCATAACGACCAAATTCTTAGTATATAAACTGCCATTAGTGTCAAAGTCAACAACATATTCTCTTGGATACTTTAAGACGGTGCAACATCAAAGATCCTAAACAAAAATGGCAAAGTATACCTCCCTACTTTTTTGTATCGTGGCAGCAAGTCTCGCAGCAGTTACTGTAAGTAGAACAATAAAAATATAAAATACGCTAAATAGAACTTATGTAAAGATCTTAAATACGATAGTACTGAACTACTACACACAATATACTTCAATACTATAGTACTGAATGACTATAGGCTCTTTCTAATGTGGACACTTTCTATGTAAAGCATTCCTTAACGTAGAAATATAATTTGATACGTGTCCATCTTTTAAACTTCAATAGTATAGAAAAAGGAGGACTCCCTGTCCTCCTAATAAATATAAACAATTGTATCGAACACACTCACGGTAAGAATATTAGCATATTATTTTTAGCCGCAGTAAAAATATACCTTATTAGTACTCATTCAAAGAGTTCCTTCTTCTTAAACTTTTGTTTCGAGGACAGACGATAAAAATAATAACATATTTTTTGCAAGGCCGTTACTGATGAAGAAAAGGCTGTCTTCCGTGAGGCGATGGAGCCAATCATAGCCGCTTGTTCTGCGGAGCACAGCGTTAGCGAAGGAGACATTAAGGCAGCTAAAGAATTACATTATGCGGATAACATCAAACCTTGCTTCATTGGATGCGTCATGAAAAAAACAGAAATAGTAAGTATTTGTATGTTATGAAATCAAATATTTGAAAACCAACATTATGTTTACTACTACAAGTAACTACTAACTGCTAGTAACTAACAACACAGACATTTATAAAGAGTAGGTAGTCGTATAACTTACTTTACTTTACTTTCTTACTTACTTTACTTTACTTTAAATATATTTTTACAATAACGGTATCCACTTCAAAATTAAAAAACACATCAATTTTATTAAAGCTCCTTGCATTATCTTATTACTTCTCTTATCTTATTTTCCAACTATGTGTCATAGATGTCATCAATACATATATTTTTTTATAGATAATGATAACATTAAGTAGGTATATAGATAGTTATACTTGCTACAAGTTATTTTAGAGCTTAGTTCGTATGTTAATACATACTCGTAATACCTTTAAGCGTCTTTGTAATTTCAGTTGGACAGCAACGGTCTTTATGATGCCGAAAAAGGGCTCAGCAAATTGAGAAAATTTGTCAAAAGTGATGAAGATTTTGCTAAGTTTGAAAGCGTTGCTAAGAAATGCCTAAAAGGTTTGTTTTCTAACATACGATGTTTAAAATCACACACGACAATACATAAGTACTTCAAATCTCCATTTTGTTTCGTAATATTTTCTTTTAAAAAAATCTTTAAAATTGCTAAATAGTATTTAATCATAAAAAATATAGTTTAAGAAAACTAAAAACCACGATTTTGTAACTTGTCGAACTAAAAAGTTAGTAATTTTTTGCGTTCAAAAACATAAATCGTTTTATCGTAAAAATATGTATGTCGTATGGGGGGATCTCAATTATTATAAAAATCTTTTATTGATAGATATTGATAAAAGTAAAGTTATTATATTATAAAATACTTTGAAAAGCACCCAACGCTTTTTACAATAAAATGTTTTTTCTTTTTAAAGTTATAGAAAATTATTTTCTGCCTTTAAGTGAGACTAGTTACAAAGAGTGTTTTTAGAATATTTTAATTATAATTTCTTTTTGCTTTTTTAATTATTAATGATGGTTATTTTCTTATTAAGACTAAAAAAGTAGAAGTAAGTTAGTCACATATGCTTTAGCACACGCCTCTTAGTTCGTCGCAGAAGACATTAGGAAATAAAAAACCGTTAATCCATACGATCCTAATGAGGATAATAAGCCAAATTTATGAATTCAAATTATTGAATTGTCATCGATCCTTGATAAGTGTGCGAAATTTCAATTTATTTAGACGTTTTGAAATGGGTCAAACTCACGTTCGAAGATTCCGTTTCATACATACCAAACTAATAAAGCGTCTTAAAAAAGATATATATGGCGCTTATTTCACAAAGTTCCACAATATTGGCACTGCAATCTAGTAAACAGTGTTCATATTCAGACTTGAAAACAAATTACAAAATTAGGTAAACTAGGAGTTTGTATATGACACAAGTTGCCAGTGCCAAAAAAGCAAGCAAGAAACTTCTTCTTTACTTCTGTTAAAGTAGCTAACTCTCAAATAGAATTAACAATATTAAATCACCACTTCAACTCCTTTTGTTAAGCATATACTTTATAATGAAAATTAACGTTTTTTGCTTTAATACACCTTTTTAATACTTTTTTCTCAGAAACGTTATGCTGCATATTGTTTACTTTATAAGGAGCTATCAGAATTAATGAACTTAAACAATACTAATGTTTTTTTTGTTATAGTTAACGACGAACCTGTTAGTGACGGTGCTGCTGGATGCGATAGAGCCAAGTTAATAATGGCATGCGCTGTTGAAAATAAAGCTGAGGTAAATAATATCTATGTTTTTCTTGAACAACTTTATTAATCGATTGAAGTATAAATGTTTAATAATACGTCTCTCTTCAATTACAGATCCCAATATAAATGAAATAAACCAGAACACTTCGAGACGTCAAAACTAAGGCAGACCAACTATTTTGTAGTGTTTTTTATTTTATTTTATGAAATAAAGCATATATTTGTTCGAACCATGTATTCGTTTTATTAGTTTTATATTCGAACAATTTAATGATGTTGTCATTGTGTTAATGATCATGATGTTCATTAAGAGGGCTTGGCTTTTATAAAACTACTGGGTGTAACTCTCCTAACTTAAGAAATGAGTATAACTTATATTATTATAAAATGTTAAAATAACATAAAACCTTAAGTCCGACAACAGTCTTTCTACAGAACTTCGATATCGCCTAGTACTTGGGTTGTTGAGGTCTGATGGCAGTCGCTCCACGTAAAAGAAGTTCAGCTGTATCGTTGTAGACGTAAAGCCGACCCCACCTAAAAAAGACTTGGAGGCAGAATGTTGTTTGGAATTGTTTTGTAAAGTGATGACTCCATAATTAAAGATAAGCCCACTGAGCGACCATTGTTTGGTTATTAGCAATCGCTGCCTAACTAATTATTATATGGGCTTATCTCATAATTCATTATTGCATTATATCAAATTCTAATAAAACAAGTACCTCACCTCGACGCGTACATCACAAATTACACACTGTACATTAATTGAACCCAACAAATGAATCTCTATTTTTCTGTTCTGTTAACAATCTTTATTGTCACCAACACAACAAAAATCTCAAAAACATTTTCATACCTATATATAGAAATCTATAGCATCCAGAAATCAGTCGTTATTAACACCCAATACGATCTTATAATTATCTCAACTCTTTATGAGGTAAACAGTGAACGCTAAATAAGGAAATAAAGCAAAAATATGTTAAGATTTTCATTTCCTTACCCTTTTCCCAAGTTTATTTAGGGTCGGCGCAAAGAGTTTTATTCTTCCATTTCTCCTCTATCTTTCGTCAGTCTACTGCTAACTCCCTTTTTAACCAGATTTTCTTTCACATAGTATTTACATATTTATAGTAGAGGGCAGCCGACAAGTTCAAAGATTAGTTATGGGAAGTTGTAAACGCGAAGTTGTGTTGTTATGTTGTTGTGTTGTGCGCTTACATTGCAAACGTTAGCTAAACCTTATTATGTCTTATGTATGTTTGAACAGTACGAGTATTATTCGTTATCCAAATAAATACGTTAGATAGTTTGTGCATTTAATATAGATCACAATTACCTTTTACAGCATATCATTAAAACAAAATATAGCGCCTTAGATATCAGAGATTTAAAATGCGGGGCAAAACATCGGGCCGTAGGTCTGTCGAGAGTGGCAGCGGGCGGCAGGAGCGGAGCGGGCCTATAAATATTGCAAAAACCCGTCCTGTCCTGTGCCTTATCATATTAATATTTTAATGAATTACTCACCAGTGACACCACATTAGTAGTATTAGTTTAGTAGTATCTAAATTGCACTCGTGAGAAGCCGAGGCGGATCGCTAGTATTCCTATAGTTGGCGAAAGATCTACAATTGGTTTATTACAAATAAGCATTGGTTTATGTATGGCATAAGGATTTTAATGTATAATAAAGATAAAATATATTATTATCTAATTAAAGCTATTATTCGTATTCATCTACATTAGGATTTATTTAGACACCCAAACATGTAAATTCACATGAAAACATAAAAAAAATGGTTTATCTTATATTAGTAGCATTAAAAAAGTTGCGTCAAAACATTAATATTAATTATTAATGGAAAAAGACTTTCAATCTTTAATTGAAGAATAAAAAATTGTTGGTGAATTTTCGAATCGTTTACTTAAAATTTAAGTCCATTTTACTATACTCCTATTTCCTACTACAACGAGTAAAATACTATTTTATGTCATTGTACCTAAATCCAAACAAACAAACTTACACAAACTTGACACAAACCCTTTTTTTTTACTTGTGGAAACTCCCTCGGGCCGTCATTCCGCCTTGGTGTATCGGAATCGGACCAACTAAAACCACACGGTGTGCCACTCTGCTCCTGTAATAGTAGGGATAAGGGAACTGCTGTCCGACCCTTCCTAGCGCCTGCCCGGGCACCACCATCGGGTAAATTCTCTATTTAGGATACGTCCGGCACACGCGGACGTCGTCTCCGCGCGGCTGGCCCTTATGACGGGTGAAGGGAAAACCTACACTGTCCACCCGCGGCCACTGTTAGGGCGGCATGAGGCGCTGGTAGGCATTTTTGTCATAGGCGGTTTGGCATGGTGGGGGTAGGCAGCCTGTTTCGACTGGCTACCCCCGACGTTTGTTGAGAATCACGTGGATGTTTGCAGCCCCCGTGCCCAATCTGGTGATTAGCGCACTTGTTACCGACCGCACAAGTATCAGAGCATTCTGCCACCTTGTGTCGCAGCGGAAACATACGTACGTACGTCCCGGGGGCTTTTAAAGACGGCCGCGTAGGACAGCCCGTCGTTAGCCACCTCCAGTGATACGGATCCACACCCGCAACATCTCCTGGGACGTATCGCTCTCCTCAACCCTGCAGCGTCCGCGGTTCTGGCTGTCGCCTACCTCCATTTTGATGCGTGCTGAAGTGCGTCCGACGAAAAGGCGGATCTGGAACGCAGGCGTTCCGATGTTCTTCGCCTCCCAGGAGTGAGACTGACTTCTGGGAGCCGTGCTCGTATAGGCGTCACGAGCAACAGTTGCTTCTCGTTGGACGAGAAGCTCTTCCACTTTTTTCCTTTCCATTCTCCTCCTTCCTTCCTTCCTTCCTTTCTGGCTTCTATATTTTATTGTATTTTTTTCATGATTGATCCTACGAGTGGAGGAGAAATAGAGATTAACCCGGGCAGAGATCCACAATACACGGGCAAGCGTAGATTTATACCCAACCGAGGGGACCGCAGGTGCCCCAGCTGGGGGTGCCGTTTTTTTCCTCGAAATCTGAGCGGTTAAGCCAAGACCCTCCGCCCCGATTAGAGTCGCGAGACATATCCACGACACCAAGACAGAAGGTACCACGTTCCGTCTTGTCAATTGCTTCGTTTATAAGCTCCGTCGTGCTCTGGGTACCGCCACACCGGCGTATCAGCTGTACGTGAGACTTCACGTATGGACGGGTTCGAGATATTGAAAAAAGAAAGAAGATCGTATAATATAGATATTGCCATGACAGATGGATAAGCATGTGTGCAGGAATATCGACGTAAGTTGCTGCATTCGCAAAAAACCAAACACAAACTTACATACATAAATTTAATCGATATTTATACGTAGATATATTAAAACCTATTTGGGGTCAAGAAACTGAAGCCATGGCATAAGTCCTTGTTCTATTTACTAGGTGATCGATTTTTCGTCTTTTTTTTTCCGTGCGGAAATCCCCTCAGATACCACCTGTCGGTGGCATGTCGGACTCGAACTGACTAAAACCGCACGCCGTCTCGGGTACTAATAGCCGGGGAACCAGGTATACCCTAGAAAGGAAGTCTCTGGTTCGATTTTTCGCCTGGCCTTTTACTAACACTGAGAAATGGCATTGCCATTCAACTTAAAGCCTAGCCTTCTAAAAACGCTACCGCCTACCAGTAGATGAAAATGTAAAGTAATAATTTGAAGTTTTCACGTCAAATAGAAATCTCATATATTAAATAAATAATGTACTGGTTATCCGTGTAGTGACAGATTATCCGGGTGGTATTCTATTCATCCCGTGGGTGTCGTAAGAGCCGACTAAGGGAGCAAATTACGCAGGACAACAGCACTGCAAAGAGAAGGAAAACTTGACAGAAACCCTATACCAACTCGTCTGGCTAGCGTGGTATAGTGGCAAAAACTCCTTTCTAAGGAGAGGCCTATGTCCAGCAGTGGAGTATTAAAAGCTGTTGATGGTAATGATGAATGTACTGGTACCTAAGATAGTGAACCTAAAGTACTCATAGACGATTATTAAAATTTACAATAATAAGTCAAATGTATTGAATATTTGGATGTGAATAAAGTTTTTGAATAAAACTATATTGTAGAGTATAGAGTATAGTAATATTTAACATTCTCTTGGAATTAACATGATTTACCAACAAGAATTGACGTAAACAGTGATTGACTGCACTAAACACACGTATACACAGCTTCATTTACTAAATTCTCAAAGAGACAAAAAGATAATAAAAATAACAAAGTCTATACAGCTACTGTACAATCAAGAAGAAATAATGTGTTAACGCGTATCATTCATTATACTCGTAGTGTTCAGACTATTGGGATAACTGCGTATGTCTATTTGTCTGCTAAGAAATAAAAAAATTGAAACCCTTATTCATTTAGCTTACGAGTAAAAGTTCCACTTTAAGCAACTTTGTTTTAAGACCTCACATATGATTGTATAATAATTAGTTACGATATCTTCCATCCAATTAATTCAATATTCCATTTGACGTTATTTCGACAATTGCAATTTGTTTGTTGAAGGAAGTAGGTAAACAATATATCTTTTTGTAAGTTTTTGTATCAAGGACTGTCGTTGGTGAGATATTATGGTAATTGCCTAACTTCAAACGGCATAACGACCAAATTTTTAGTATATAAATGGCCATTAGTGTCGAAGTGAACAACATATTCTCTTGGAAGTTGAAGACGGTGCAACATCAAAGATCCTAAACAAAAATGGCGAAGTATACTTCCTTACTTTTTTGTATAGTAGCAGCAAGTCTCGCAGTAGTTTCTGTAAGTACAACATTTAAAATATAGTTATGCATGTATATGTTATTGTTATAGAACCAGTATATATTGAATATCTATAGGCCGTTTCTTATGCGGGCGTTTTCTATGGAAATCATGAAGCATAAACGTGGAAGTATAGCTAGTTCAGTGTTCACCTTTTAAATATTAGATACTAGCTGTACACCGCCAAGCTTTGCTGTGGCTGCATTGATGAAAAATGAGGAAAAAGTGAAGCGAAAAATAGATAAAAACAATCTTTGAAGCAGTTTGTATAAAAATTTGATTGTCTCAATCGGTGCAGAACTTTTTGACTTTTTGAACATACGCCAACTATTTTAACATTTATATATATAAACTAGTTTTTGCCAACGGTTTCGCTCGTGTAAATGTCAAATCTGACAATAGTCAGTAGTGTAGTCCGGATAAATAATAGTCTTCATACTATTCTAGACTATAGTTCATACAGAAAGCCGTTGAAACATGAATACCTACTTCCGTTTTGAAAAATTAGTTAATTTAAAATTAGGTGTCTAATTATTATTATTTTAGATAGATAATATAATTATACTGAGTGTGAAATCAATAAATAAAAAAAAGAGTTTCCTATACCCAGTTTTACCCTTTTTAAGGATGGTTTTAAAATTGGTAATAGTGTTATTATTTCGAGTTTAAAAACGCTTCTACCAAAAATAATGAAGTTTCATTTACTTTGCTAACCCCCATTTTGCATCCACAGGGGTAGAATTTCTTTTCTTTCTTAGTGAACACCTCCGTCACCTAAGGAAAATTAATTAAACCTTTATGCAAATTTTCAGGCTGCTATACCGAGCGGTTTCAGCTAAGCGTTGATCGATCAGTCAGTGAAACAGACTGTCAATTTTTTTTTAATAGATATTGATTAAAATAGTATAATAGTAAAAAGGAGAAATGAAGACATATATGTATTATCGTTCTAGTAAAACACACAATTTTACCGCACACTCGCAGTAAATGTTCACCTTATTTGTACTCATTTAAAGCCATTCGCGCACCAATTGAGATTATAACTTTTAAAACACTTTTGAACATTTGGTTGGGCGTCAAGACCATTTCAAAATGTAAGTAAAATAATCTTTGCCAGGCTGTTACTGATGAAGAGAAGGCTGCCTTCCATGAGGCAATGGAGCCAATCATAGCCGCCTGTTCTGCTGAGCACAGCGTAAGCGAAGGAGACATTAAAGCTGCTAAAGAGTTAGAAAATGGAGATGGCATTAAACCTTGCTTTATCGGATGCATCATGAAAAAAACGGAAGTAGTAAGTGTCCTGTGATCAAATTCTTTGATTTAACTTTAGTTTACCAACATGAAGGTTTTTTAAGACATATATACACACTACACATTAGAAAAAAATCTTTTTGTGAATTAAAATTTTCCAAATTTTATTTTAAAATTAAACTATTCTTGTTGTGCAGCGTAAACATTATGTATTATACATGTATAAATCAGACATGTACACATATTCACATAGATAATGATAACATTGCAGTCCAATGACAATAAAAACTTGCAACAAGTCATTCTAAAAGCCTTTAAACCTCTTTACAATTTCAGTTAGACAGCAACGGCCTTTACGATGCAGAAAAAGGACTCAGCAAATTGAGGCCGTTTGTCAAGAGTGATGAAGATTATGCTAAGTTCGAAAGCGTTGCTAAGAAATGCCTAAAAGGTTTGTTGCCTAACACATACGATGTATACAGTCACACGCGACTTACATGTATTTTGTTAATCTTCGGATTCATTTCTACACAAATTTCTTTCGAACTGCAAGTAGTGTACAATAATAAATATAATTTATGTATCACTTCACATACATTACAGACCATTAGCTATTTTTTTTTTTCAAAAGTTAACCAAGAGATGTAAAAGCTAACAAGACACTACTTCTTCTTCTTCTATGCCGCGGGAGCAATCTATTAGAAACATTCTGCCATCGTTCCACATGGCAAAATGTTCATCCCCATGTGCGCTTGTTGCCACAGATTGGTTTTGCCAGACAATTTTTGCCTTGCACAACAAATCTGTGGAAAAAGTTGTCTTCTGTCCTTCAAACCTTCAAGAAAAGAGCGTACTCTTTCCTAAGAGTACGGCCGGCAACGCGCTCTTGACTCCTGAGTTGCAGGAGTTCATGGGCGACGGTAGTCACTTTCCATCAGGTAAAAAGTCTGCTCGTTTGCCCCTCATCCATAAACAAAGAAGTATCTAACCCTTGGATGGAGCTAGTCTTGTTCAGTCCCGACTTTTTCCACTTTTATAATTCCTGTACTTTTATTGTATTTTAAATCACAAACAGCGTTTGTAATTGGATACGCTACATATTGTTATGTAATTACTTTATAAGGTGCCTTCAGATTATAAATGATTTAATTGATGTCAATAATGATAATGTTTTTTTTATAGTAAACGACGAACCTGTTAGTGATGGTGCTGCAGGGTGTGAAAGAGCCAAATTGGTAATGGCATGCGCTATTGAAAACAAAGCTGAGGTAAATAAAATGCTCGCATTCTTTTATTATTTAATGGATTTCATGAATATTTAATATTGTATGTTTTTAATTACAGATCCCAATCTAAATAAAATAAGGCACAAGAACTCCGAGACGTCAAATCCAAGGCAGACCAAATGAGCGTAGATTATTTTGTAGAGTTTTTTTGTTTTTAATTTCATGAAATAAAGCATGTATTGTTCGAACTATAGTTGTTTTATTATTGAATAATTAAACTACCTCCTCATGCTTTGATAAGGTAAACTTAGCTGTTTTTGACGGGTCTGTTGGTCTAGTTCCCATTCCCAGAGATTCCCAGAGATTGACCATCTACTTTAGGCAAGAGATTTTTCTAAAATGAACTCATACCTCATAGCCAAATTATTGCACGATTTTCGAATTATTAAATTTTAAATTAAATATGCAACAGTGATACTTTCTACTAAAATATTAGTCATTCTTATAACAAGTTGGTCCTACGTAACGCAACTACAATAAGAGCTTGTGTTAATTAATCGGTGTCGATTTTTAGATCTCATCGACCCCCTTTTTTTCCGTTTCCGCCTCTGCTCAACCCACGCCGGGCACTCTGCCAGCGTGTGGAGAGCCGTGTCCACGGTTTGGCCACCACATTGGTGGCACTCAGGCGTTGGCTCCTTGCGGATCAGATACAGGTGATCCCCGAAACATCCTTTCCCAGTGATCACCTCGGTCAGTCGGTATGAGAGGGTCCCGTGACGCCTCTCGAGCCAATCCTCCATTACAGGTCTTACCGCCGCGATGACGGCGTGCCCGAGATCTCATCAACCCCTAAAATCAGTTTTTGTTTATGTCGACCCCTGGGAAACCGATTCCCAAGGGGTCGATATCGATAAAGATATATTTACTTGCAGAACATGTGTGTCTACAACAATACTTAGTCAGCAATATAAAGGTCTTAATAACAAATTTTTAAAATCAACATGTTCAGCCTTAAAAGGTGTACAATAACTTTGGGCATCCCTGGTTCAGTGTTTAGTGACTCTGACTGCTAAGACGGAAGTCTTGGGTTCGATCCTGATCGTGGACAAATAATTGTGTGATGAGCACGATGATTTGTTCTGTGTCTAGGTTTAATTTATCTATAACATGTATGTGTTTAGAAATATACAAGTAAGTTTATCAGCAGTCGGACTACCATATCAAAGGCTCTGCCTAGTTTGGAATCAGACGGCCCTGTATGAGATGTATAAAGATATTATTATTATAACATTACTGCGTTTAATGCCCCAAATACAGGCATGGGTCAAACTAACTTAAAACACTTCTCATTCCTCATCCGTTTCTAGTTAGTTTCTCCCTCTCTAACAGGAACTTTATTTTTAGTCATAAAAGATATCAAGACAAGTTAACTCAATTTTTTATTAAGTACTATCTTGTTTAGTAGTAAAATTGATTTGCAAAAGGCAATGATTAAAGATAAGCACTGAGCACTTCCAATCTCTGCCTTATTTAATGGGATTCTCTCAATATTATTTCACATTTCAATGAAACTGTGTAATTTAAAGTACATAAAAAATACGACAAGTTTAGAATTTATATTTGCCTGTTCTATTAATTACTTTCTTCAAGAAAGAAAGGTTTTTGGAGGTAATAATATAGTTTGCATTAGTTTGTTTCTTTTAACACCCTACGCGATCTCGTATCTCGTGCCTCAAAATTTAGGAGTTAAACAATGAAAAAGGCTAACAAAATCGTTTAAAACAATGACTGCATACTTCAGTTAACTTCTAAGTACTGTAAATATACTACTTTGTTTTTTATTTATTTATTTATTTTAAGGAACACAAACAATGTATTGTACAATAGCGTCTTAAGAACTAATATGCATAATGTCTTAATCTAGTACATACAAAAATAAAATGTGTCCAGCATCTACCATTTTATGTTAACTACCTTGAGAGATACGAGATAACTTACATAATTTCCATGTTCGATAACTATTAAGACCTTTTGCAAATTTACATTTAACAATAAAATGCTAAGCACAAATCATGCAATTTAATAATCTTATATATATATATTTATTTGCAAAAATCTATACCATACATTTATTTATAATATTCTTAAAATGTGCTTGTTTCTCACGAAATATATCCAGATTTCCAAAATTCTTCGCGTTAAAATAATTGTACAATTGGCGAATTTAGTTTTGTTGTCATAATATAAAATATAAATAATATTTTTATTTTACTTCTTTTTCCAATTCATACATTAAAACTTTGCTAGATCTGAATCTAATAATATGAAGTTAGGTTAGGTTAGGTTCGTGTGGTGGGGGGTGCTGGGCTAGAAAACCTCCTCGTGGTGCACCCTGGAAACGCTGGCGATGGTACTGTTTCCTCCTTGTCCTCTTGGAGGAGAGGATTATCGCCAGCGGCCAATATTCTAGCAGAAGAGGCAGCCGTTCATCGGCTCTCGGGCAAGGCCTGGTCCAGCAGGGTGGGCGTGTCTGCCGGTTGCCCTGCTGGCTCTTCGCTCTTCGGAGCATGGAGGAGGAAACCTCGGTAAAAAACCTGATGGCGGGGCCCTGTAGGGGCCACAGTTTCTCCGCTGACAGCGGTGGAGAAAGGAGGACGGGCTCGGCGTGTACTCACACTACCACCGAGCAGGCAGGGGGACGTAGTCTCCCTGTCAACCGTCGGCATATCGTAATCCCGAGAAGAGCGCTGTGGTTAAGTCTCGCGGCTCTGATCGGGGGCGAGGGTCTTGGCTTAACCGCCCGGACCGCGAGGAAGATAACCTCTCTAAAAAATTCCCCGAATCCCGTGTTCTGGTGCGTGGCCAGGGGATGCATGGCTGATGGGAAGTTCAGTCGCGAGCGCACTCCAAGCCGAGGTACCTGCGGACCCCTCGGTTGGGTTAAAAACTTACGCTTGCCCGGGTAATGGGGGATCTCTGCCCGGGTGGACCTTTAGTTCTCCCCCAATCGTGGGATTTATTATGGATCATAACAACAAAAATATAAAGAAACGGCAACCAATACAAACCAAACAGAAACAGGCAAGCAAAACGGACTCTGATACGAAGGAGAAGAGGAACAGTGGAGTGGATGGGTCATCCACGGAGGGTGAGATAGCGTCGGGAACGCCTATCTCGATGGGGCTCCCAGAAGTCAGTCTGACGCTGGTCTCTGGGAGCCGAAGAGCATCGGATCGTATTCGTTCCGGATCCGCCGTCTCCTCGGATGGCGCGGAGGCCATGGAGGCGGAGCGAAGCGACAGCCGAAAACGCGGACGCTCAGGGGACGTGGAAACCGACACGTCCGGCGAAATGATGCCACCAAAGGTGGCAAGCAGTCGCCGAGGGAGGGCGCGTAAACCGGCCTCGGTCTCGACCCCGTCAGGCTCCGCGTTCTCAAACGCGGAGTCCTACAGGAGCGTGCGAGTGGACGGCGAGGCCGTAGCGGAGGAGGAGATCGCGGATCTCCTGCTCAAGGTTCGGGAGCCGGTGGGGGGAAATGCCCCCCAGGCTCCCGTGTCCGTGCAGGAGAGGGCGAAAGCGGCGGTGGCCGTCATCGACAAGGTGGCCACCAAATCCGTGAACCTTAAGGGCTCGTTTGTGAGGGCCCTTAAGGACTCCTCCTCCGCTTTGTCGGAGGTCGTGGAGGGCCTAGCGGGCGACGTCTCTCGCCTGCAGGTGGCCAACAAGAAGCTGACGGAGCGGGTGAACGAGCTGAGCGCTCAGTTCGCCCGCTTCCAGGCGAACCTCCCCGAGCGGGAAGCCCCGTCCGCGTCCCAGCCTGCCCCTACTACCAACTCAGGGGCATTTGACTCCCAACTGCGAGAAATCCTCATCGCAGTTGGGAATATGCTGGACGGACGCCTGGCTGGCCTGGAGGCGAGACTGCCCCCTGCGCCGGTTGTGCGCCCCCCGCTCGCGTCGACACAGCGGCCTAAGGCCGCCGCTCCGACCGCGCTCCCCGTAGTGGGAGGCCGCGTCTCCTACGCGGCGGCGGCGTCTGCCCCGACTCCATCGGCTCCCCAAAAGCCGAGGAGGGGGGCCAAGGCACCGGCCCAGGCGCCGGCCAAGGCACCGGCTAAGGCGCCGGCCAAGGCACATCCCCAGGCGCCGGCCAAGACGGGGCCTAAAACGACGCCGAGGAGCGGAGTGGCATTCCCTCCGCTCCCCACTCCGACACCCCTGCCGGGCCCCTCCGCACCTGCCCCCTCCAACGAGGGTTGGCAGGAGGCGAGGGGCTCCAAGAAGTCCCGAAGGCGGGCCAAAAAGGCTGCCAAAAAAGCAGCCCAAGCCCAGCCTTCGCCACCGGTGGCAACGGCCTCCACAAAGAGGCCGCGGAAGCTGCAGCCGCCCAAAACCGCGGCTGTAGTGGTGACCGTGTCCCCGGAGGCGGCGGACGGCGGGCTGTCCTACGCGGCCGTGTTTAAAAAGGCCCGGGACAGCCTCGCCAACGACTTTGGGACGGCGGGGGTGAAGATGCGCCTCGCCCAAACGGGAGCTCGAGTTCTCGAGTTCCCAGGGGCTGAAGGCGCCAAGACGGCGGACACTTTCGCTGAGAGGCTGCGGGGTCTATTCGCGACCACAGATGGTGTCAAGATCGCCAGGCCTACCAAGTGCGCGGAGCTGCGCATCTCGGGCCTGGACGACTCTGTGACGGCCGAAGATGTCCGCGCTGTAATCCGGGAGAAGACGGGGTGCAGCGCGGACAACGTCAGGGTCGGCACCATCCGCCCCGGTCCAGGAGGGCTTGGCGCCGTGTGGGTCAGCTGTCCCGTAGCGTCGGCCAAAGTATTGGCCGACGCCGGCAGGCTGCTCGTCGGTTTCGTGAGCGCCAGGATCACAGTCCTGGCGGCGAGACCGATGAGATGTTACAAATGCCTAGCATCGGGGCACACGCGCGTCAAGTGCCAAAGCTGCTTCGACTGCAGCGGACTTTGTTTCCGCTGTGGTCGACCGGGGCATGTGGCGGTGGAATGCTCTGCCGCCCCTCACTGCCCGGTGTGTGCGGCGGGTAACAAGCCCGCCAATCACCAGATGGGGCAGGGGGGCTGCAAGCCTCCCCGCATCTCTCAGCAAGCATCGGGGGCT